TCTGCCTGCATGTAATTACACAACAAAACTTTCAAGATATAGATATATATACAAGTAAAATTTTTTTTGACATACAAGAAAACTTATGACATGATAAAATACTAAAAATAACAGTCGTTCAGCAGAGCAAGCAAGTCAACTGGAAATCAATAATTCAAATAATTCTCCAAGTTAGCGTGAATTAACGGAACCCCAAATAAGGGAATATTCGAATTAATCAACAATACACTCTTCAAACTTATCCAATTAAAGCTGGGAGAATGAGCAAACCCACCTGGCGAGTAAGATCAAACTGGGACAAAATGACCTCAGCAGCTTTCAATGTCCTGTCAATATTCTCATGAGCTCTTCTAATAGCATGAGTCCTGATCTGAGAGAGTAGCAAATCAAACATTGACTTACAAAACTTAAAATAACCAAGCTTGAACACATTTCAGGAAAATCATAACTGAAATTCTATTGGCCCGAGAGGAAGACGTCATGAAAGGAAACAGATCAAGCATATCATTCCTAAAACCTTAATCACTTCCTTACAAAGAAAAGGAAAGGGGCAAGTCAACCATACTGCTTAAGCCTTTTGCTTTAATTCTTTCCTTATATTACCAATAATGTTCTCCTAATCGAGCAAATTTAAGGGAAGCACAGAAAAACACTCCTCTTTTTTTTTTATTATTCTTTTAAATTTTCGCACAAAAGTCAGTTGCCACCAAACTCAAAGCCCAGAAAACGAGATCCAAAAATCCGAACTAGATATTTTCCCCTCCAAGTTCAGAGTTAGTTTTACAAGAACGAATCACAAAATTAACATAGGATTTTCACCAAATGCAAGCAAAATATAAAAGGGTATAACAGAGATCAACTACCTGAGTTGGACGCATGGCGGTTTCGAGAGCAGAGAGGCGGTGATCAAAGGAACCCAGAATAGAAACCATGTTATCAGTAATAGATTGACTCTTGAGCAGCGATTCTCTCATGGTAGCTGCTCTTTCACTAAGCAAACCCGCTCCCCCCGCCCCTCCTCCTGAACCCCACGGAACCCCCATCTTGTTTCTTCTTCTTCTTCTCTACTGAAAATTGAATCGAATCGAATCAAATTCAAGTTTCGTTTGCTGTTCGGGGGCTCTGTGATAGTAGTAAAGGGAGACTTGTTCTTCTGGTTTTCTTTGTGATTGAAAATGGAAAGACCTTTATAACCCAAAAAATCAAATAAAGAAAAGGAGTATAACAAGATGTGCTGTGCTGTTCAGTGCAGCGGTGGCATGGCCCAGGCCCCGCGTTAGTTGAAAAATCAGCTAAATAAATTTGGCTAAAGCATTAGTTAGGGGAAAAAATTAAAGCAGAAAAGTAGCAATTTTTATGGAAAATGTGATTCAGCGAACAAATCCAAACACACCCGAGAACAAACAATGGATAATTCTCAATACAAGATATGCATCACTCAGGCCATTGTAATCTACCTCCAGAACAATTCGAAACAATGTAATATAAATGTAGGACGATCAATTAAAAAAAAAAATGCCTAGACCAAAATTATTTTCTACACATAGCTCCAAATTGTTAAGATGGTTTAAAATTATTATTAAGATAATAATTTTTAACTTCTTAAATATATTGCCTGCAGTGAAGGACTTAAAAATGCCATCTCAAATTTTCTTGTTAGTTAACATACTTTTACAAGTATATACATGTTTTTTTTTTTTTTTTACTTTTTTCACTATATATGAAAATATCAATAATTATAAGGAATATCATCCAAAACATATTTCACATTTTATCAAATGAATTTTTTTCATTCTTTACTTTTAAAAATAATAACTTTATATTCCTTACAAAATCAAAGTCAATAAAATTTGTTCTCAATTTTTGACCAATTTTTAAACATGGAATTCATCAAGTGACCCAAACGTAGTCATTTTTTTTAGGAACAAAAAAGTTAAATCCTATTTGTAATAAAACAAATGACTTGATCCATATTCATTTTTACCTTTAAAAAAAATAACATCTGACTCGAATCATATTCATTCTATTCTCTAAAATAGTAGAGTCTAACTTAATTCATATTCATTTTTCCACTAGTATTCAATTTTGTCACTAAAAAAAAAGTGAGATCTGACCTTTTTGTTTATAAAAAATGATTGCACATGGGTTACATTGCGATTTCAAGTTAAAAATTGATCAAAAACTTAAATTGGGATGAAATTTTGCTAATTTGAACTTGTAAAAGATGTAAAATTAATATTTTCAAAGTAAAAGAATAAAAAATTCATTTGACAAGACATGATAGACGTTTTAAATGATTTTTTTTCCTTATTTTAAACCAGATTAGGCAATGACATTGGAGCAAGTGTATTAGGATATGATATGATTTTAGAAAAAAAAATTTTAAAATAATGCTATGATTCACTTTTTTGTGATGTAATGCACGTAAAATAAAATAAATTTAAAATGTGCTTATAAATTCTTTTTTAATTATTATTTGGTGTGTAAAAGCTGGCCATTCCAAAGTCGGAACAAGTTTGGACGTAAATGTGAACAGCCTTTTTTTTTTTTGTTGCATTGAATTTGACAATTTAACTTAACGGGAGCTCATCGCCCACTGACGATGCCCATGTCAGATTCTCCTTTCCCGTTTTCATTGCACCAATCAACTTCTAAGATGCTCCCATTTCACTCAACCCGAAAGAGGTAATGACAAAGGAACGAAGATGGCGAACGTCCACTAACCAGTCAAAAGACTCTAGAGGAGAATTTTCCGTCACGTTGTCGGTCGGTTTGTCGAATGTCTTATGTATAGTTAGCAAAGAAGAATCTCCATAAACTAATAGGTGAGCAAGAAAGACACACTTGCGAAGTGGTGAAAGGATGAAGAGAACCAGCTATGAGAACAGATTCATTTAAGTGAAGCCTTCTCCATGTCTGCAGAAAATAATTGGAAAATCGCAGAGACACCTGTGTGCTATTTTCTCGAGAGGTTGAACGTATGTCGTTTCAATGAAGACGGGCGTCCAACTAGTACCACATGCAATCATCAATGCGCCAAGTTTACGGTCAGTTTGGAAGGTGAGTTTCCTGCACTTGTGCACGCTGCATACCAGAAATACACAGACGGTAGAGAGGTGACTCGATCACGCAACATTGGGGTCTAAAGAGGCTACCCTACCCCAAACTATCCGAGTCAATCCCAAGAGTCAGATATATTTATTTTGCAGAAAAAGAAAAGAAAAGAAAAAAAAGAGGAACGTGTGACACCAAACAGTTGTAGGGCCTGTTTGGAACCTGAGTTTTTTGGGAGTTTGTCTAAAACTTTACTGTAGTGCACTGTAGAAGTTTTTGAAAAAATTTTGTAGAAGTTTTTGTTAGGTGAAAAATTTTGTAAAAATTTTTGTAAGGTGAAAAAATTTTGTTTCTTTTTTTGTTTCTTTCCCTTTCTTTTTCTTTTTCTTTTTCTTTCTTTCCTTTTTCTTTTCTTTCCTCTCTTTTTCTTTTTCTTCTTCTTCTTCTTCTTCCCGTTACCTCCACCACCCCCAGCTGCAACTCCACCTCCCCCCGTCCCCCTCTGCCCCGTCCCCCTCCCCCCGCCTTCCCTCTCTCCCCCGCCGCCCCCTCCCCCGCAGCCCTCTCTCTCCCCCGCCTTCCCCCCCCCCCCTCCCTCCCCCCGCCCCCTCTCTGCCTGCCGCTTCCCCTCCCCCCGCTCCTCTCTCTCCCCCATCTTCCCCCCCGCCAGCCCCCTCTGCCCTTCCCCTCCCCCCGCTGCCTCTCTCTCCCCGCCTTCCCCCCGCAGCCACCTCTGCCCCTCCCCCGCCTAGGGCTGCAAACGAATCGAGCCGCTCGCGAGCGGCTTGAGTCAAGCTCGAGTCGAGCTCGACATTAATCGAGCTCGAGTCGAGCTCGAGTCAGCTCGAGTCAAACTCGAGCTCGAACTCGAGCTCAGAATATTAAGCTCGTTAACTCGCGAGCCGGCTCGCGAGCTTGAGTATATATATATATTTTTTATTTTTATTTTATTTAATAATAAAATTACGTATATTATATATATATATTTTTTTATTTTTTATTTTCATAGTGAAATTACGGATATATCCTTAATATTTTATTATTTATTCAGAAAAAAATACTATTTTATTTATTTTTTTTAAAAATAAAATAATTTTTTTTTATTTTTTTCGAGCTCGGCTCGACTTGATTCGAGTCGAGCTCGAGCTCGAAAATTGCCAGCTCGTCGAGCTCGAGCTCGAGCTCGAGCTTGATAAAATTTAGCCGAGGCTCGACTCGATTAGCTCAAAACTCGACTCGACTCGACTCGTTTGCAGCCCTACCCCCGCCTTCCCTCTCTCCCCCGCCGTCCCCCTCCCTGCCCCCTTCCCCCTCCCCCCGCCGCCTTTCTCTCCCCCATCTTCCCCCGCCGCAGCCCCCCTCTGCCTCTTCCCCCTCCCCCGCCTTCCCTCTCTCCCCCGCCGCCCCCCGCCGCCCCTTCCCCCTCCCCCCTCTGCCCCCCTGGCCGCCCCTTCCCCCGGCCAAAAAACCTCGTGCGTAGCTTGTCTTCAAACTTATCCGCCTACCAGCGAGACGATCTAGCTTGTTCACCTGCGATGAAGCAACAGGAAGCCTGCCTTCTGTCCGTTGAGCTGAGGAAGAACCTAGCACTTTTTCAGTTTGTCTTACGCGAGGACGGGCAATCACTTTTTTTTTTGAGTTTTTGAGTTTTTTGCCAAAACGACGCAGTTTCAATTAAAAGTTTCAGACAAGTCCAAGAAATTTTTGTAGAGTTTTTTGGGTTCCTGTAGCAAAAGTTGTTAAAAAACTAGTAGCAAACAAACTTGCTAAAAAACCTACGTTCCAAACAGGGCCGTAATTTCCACAAAACAGAGGGGTCAATTTCAAAGTATCAGATTCTCCATTGAAGCTGTGGAATCTCGTGAGAAACATGTGCCATCGAACAGTTGTAATTTCCACAAAACAGAGGGGTCAATTTCAAAGTATCAGATTCTCCATTGATGGAAAAGATGAGACGCCCATCAAGAGTAGAGTGGGCTTGCGAGCGAGTGTGATGGCTTTATGTTTGTGCCGATACATCATCCTATGCTGCCATCCTCGGCACCGCCATCAAGCCCTCTCTGCCACTCCAAGAAATAACAATTTCTCTTCGCTTTATTGTCCTCCAAATCGCTGCCAAAAATTTACTTCTGCCCTCTCGATTGATCCTCATCATCGTCATAAACGCTTCAGAGCTTCATTTTGTGCTCAATCATTATCAATCATGCAAAACCCGCCTCAAGGTTATAGAAGAAACGTTGGTATTTGTCTCATGAATCCCTCTTCTAAAAAGGTCTTCTCTTTGTTTCCATGTCTCCATAATCCTACACAAATTTATTTATCTTTTTTGTTTTGTTTGTGTCAAGAAATGAACTTTTGGATTGTCGCTTGTAGATTTTTGCAGCATCAAGACTTGACATACCTGACGCCTGGCAAATGCCTCAGGTCGATCTTTTACTAAATTCATCTTATTCTTGGATTATTTTTTTCCCGCTGTGAATTGGTAAGGTCTGCTCCTGAAAGATTGGGGAAATATGATACACTATCTGGGCTTATAGGATCTATTGGGATACATTACATATATCGATTGTATTATCATGGTAGTCCTTTATGTAGCTGGTAATAAGCAGCAGCAGGAGCATATATATGTAATTTGTTTACTGGTAACTAATGCTGTATCAGGTGTCTCTCTATTCTGATGATGTGCGAAGGTATAATAGTACAGAACTAAGCTACTAGCTGAATTTTGGGAACCTGCAATTTACCTGCAGTGCAGCCGAAAATGTTACAAGTTCTTCAACAGTAGCTAACATCCTTGAATTTAAATACGGTAGAAAGTCATGGCTGAAGCCGGGATTTTACTTTTGCGTTTGAGCCTCAAGTGAACATGCTAACATTCTGAGGGGAAGCATGGTACTTGATGATGTAGTTTCCTAGAACTGTGGCACTAATTGAGCTCCATAGTGTTTTTCAGATCAAAAATTTGAAATCTGAGGACTTTTTCTGAAATTCAATAATCATGTATGAAGTAATATATTTCTTCTTTCCCTGTGCTCTTTTTTATAGAGTGCTGATTTTCAATGGGTGACAAACTATCATCAAGATGAATTTCCAAGTCATCTAAGAGCTTAAGTGGAGAGAGTGAATAGATATTTAATAAGTTTATGCACTTCTAAGAAGAACGAGTGTAAGAAATAGATCAACTTTTTCTTTCTAGTTAAAAATGAGATTCACCTGGTCATTCTAATGTTTTGAATTTAAGAAATTCTCAATTGAGGTTACTTTTCTTGGTGTCTGAGCTGATGTTTAATACTAGACTGTCTAGTAATGTGACTTTTACTCATCTTGAAATCCTCGTGCACAATATAGGACATAATTGATTCATGGCTGGATTAACAGGGAGGGATTGATGAAAGTGAAGATCCAAGAACTGCAGCTGCAAGGGAATTGAGAGAAGAAACAGGAGTTACTACAGCAGATGTTGTTGCTGAGGTGAGTTCCCTTTTGAAATGCTGAATTAATTTTTTTTTTCTATCTCTACACTTTGGGTTAGAAAAATGATTATCTGCATTTTTGGCATATATGAAGCTGCCATTATGCATTTTCTGGTCTTCTACGGATTCTCTTCTTGTTTTTTGGTCGCATAAAAATTTCTGCATATGCATTAACAAGGTCAAATTTGGCATTCGAGTCCACATGCAGGTGCCTTATTGGTTGACTTATGATTTCCCTCCAGCTGTGCGGGAGAAACTAAATCGTCAATGGGGATCAGACTGGAAAGGTCAAGCTCAGAAATGGTCAGTTCACCTATTTCCTTGTTTACTGATAAATTTTTTGCAGTAGCAAGGCTTCACCTTTTACCTAGTTTGAGACTACCTATCATTCCTCCTCCTTTCTTTTTGGGGGTGCTTGGTGGGGGTTGGAGTAGGTTTATGAATATTAAGAACACCTGTGTGCAACTTCTTAAAGTTGTTGGGGCCAAAAGGGTTTCCAAGCTTGAAAATCTTGCTGTTTGTCATGATAAAGAAGTAAAGACATTCAGAAAAAAGAAAAAGAGTTGAGAGAATCAAGAAAATCTGCCCATGCATGAAGTTAAGTGGACTTCAGGTTTGTACACTGAGTTGATTAAAGTTTCAGTGGCGGTGGGTGGTCAAGGTGGGGAGGAGATAGCTGCTGCTTCATATAGCTAAATGCTAGTAACTTCATGGTAAAGGGAGGTTTTTCTTGATCTGTATTTTCCAGCATTATGGGTTTACTGTGACACTTTAGCGTGCTAGCATCTTAGATTTATTCAATGGATTTGGCTCAGGTTTCTTTTCAAATTCAATGGAAATGATGATGAAATCAATCTTTTGGGTGATGGTACTGAGAAGGCTGAATTTGGAGAATGGGCATGGATGTCAGCAGAACAAGTAATTAATCATGTAATTGCCGCTCAACTCTCTGCACTGAAACGCTTCCAAGCACTTTCTTTTGTCTTTCCTAGAAAAATAAGACTTTTACCTTGTCTGAAACTCTTCTTTGCAGGCAGTGGATTTCAAGAAACCTGTTTATGAGGAAGTTTTGTCTGTTTTCTCAACATATCTGCAGTAAATTACTGAAGATTATTCTTTTAGTGGACGTGCAAATTTACTGGACTTTTTCAAGTGGAAATCATGCAGCAGCATCTTGTCAAAAGCTAAAATTTATGACTCTAATGATTATGTTTTAATTCCGAAGTATTGTCATACGGATCCACAGGTTCAAAGTACTTCATTTTGCTTGGATGTGTTAATGCATATTCTACAAGTTCAAGGACAGTATCGACAAAGTTGTTATTACTTGTAAGAAGGAAGCTGCCAACGTTTTGCAGCCTGTTTATATTCGGAGAGGGAATCAAAGCTTGCATGGCATTTGCGGATACTAGACTGCACTGATCAAATACATCACATTGAGAAAAGTAATGGATGACCTGACAGCATTACAAATTGTCTCTAAATTTTGCATGGTGTCTGTGTCGTGCTTAGAGGTTGAACGAGGGGGAAAGTTTGTGATGTGTCTATCTCTTGGCAATACTTCGTTCTCATTCAAAAACTTATCTTGCATTGGCATAGGATGTTTCAACTAACCTGATACCAAACTCTGCTTAATTTTCCTCTTAGTGCTTTCATTTTTTGTGGATTTATCATTGGCTTTATTCTGGTAAATAACTAGCTATTTATGGCACCAATCGGCCCCATCCTTCTTTTTTTTTTTTTTTTTTTTAAATATACGCAATTTCCAAACTGCCAGGCCAGGGGCCGTGGCTAGCCTCCTTGCTACTGTTTCTTTTCCTTCAAGTAGTTAAGCATTCAACAAGGTTAGAGTCCGAGTCCAAACTAGTAAAAAAGGTGTTTTTGACCAAAAAAAAAAAAAAAAACAGGAGGACTTCTGGAGCATTAATTAACAGAAGGGGTGTTAATGAATTTAATGAATATGCAGCACACAGAGTCTCAATGAGAGAATCAAAGATAGAATGCTTCTGAAAAACTACAAGAATTCCTGCACAGCACATTATCAGATATCAGCCCTGTAAGGTAAAAATGAGGGAGTACCAAAGTATCTGGATGCGAGTGCGCTGCCTGTGGAGGTTGGTTCAGAGAATGCCAGCTGAGATGGTTCCAGGAGAAAATCCTTTATGAAAGTTATCCTATAGGAAGTTTGACAGAGAACAGAAATGGCCTTAGTATCCAAATTATGCGGAATGACAAGAATGCCAAAGAAAAGATTGGTTAGAAATTGGTAGAACCCATCTCAGATGATTTCTCGAAAAACAATGTTTCAAAGATTCGACTCAAAGAAACTCTCTTTGCTTATGTATTGCTTGTCCTAGTAACTGCTCGATGTCAAAAATAGTACAGTATTTAACTACAGCCCATGAGCAGAACAGAACTACAAATGCACGTTGTCACGCTAAAGTAAGTGCTTTTCTCTGTATTGTTGGACCAGCAAAAATCCCTCTGAGGAAATTTTGCGCATGTACGTACATAATCACATTGTCATCGGGGAAAGCCAGCAGGTCAAAAGGCCTCAGAAGCAAATCAAAGATGATCACATGAACCTTTTGTATCTTCAATAGTTCCCATCACTCTGAGGAAATTTTTGTAGAATCATTCAGTCTGATGTGAGAGACTCAGCTTCAGCATATGGTGTTACTTTACTAGCTCTAAATATTGACTAAAACATACAAAGACCGATCAAAGATAGTTGTTTAGGAGGCTTCTTTACAACTTGCCTCTGCAAATTGTTTCCTCCCATTTTGAGTAAATATGAGTCTTGTTTATTATTCTCGGAACCCGCATTTTCCTGGTTTCTTGAAGTCCCTGATTTTGATACAGCTCTGTAGGCTTTTGATATTGGTTCCAGTACAGGGCAAGCAGCAATTCTCTGATGGACTATAAACAGATACACCTGCAACAGAGTGAATATGAAGAGCGGAATCAAACAGAGCCACTAACATCATCATTCTCATAATTAGACAAAATGGTACCTTGCATAACATGTGGATCAGACTTCCACTTCCTAATTCAACCTCCATCATTTGCAGAACCTTTTCAACCTACCAAAAAACAATAAATTCATTATACTAAGTGAATAAAGACATTGTTGCCGGGAGTGCAGCCGGGGTTGGGTAGTTTGTGCTGAGAAATGAGTTCATGCAGTGATTCATGGAAGCCCAGAGCACACAAGTTTCACCACCATGTGCACCATGAAATAAAATTACACATGAACTTGGTACTACTGTGAAACTCAACAATCAAGGTATGCCAAATGATCAGTGCAAGACAAGCTTTTAAAAAATATTCAAATTTGCACCCCTTGAATCTAATTGTTGGTTATTCTTCACTAAACGAAGTAATATTTGGAGAGGATTGCTCAATGCAAACATTATCGGATGATCATAAACCTGCCTTATAAAATCAATAAGAGGTTCTAAAAACACAAAATGTGGTGGTAAATGCAGGGCATAATGCTGTTATTCCATCTACCGATGACGCTTGACTGCCAATATTTTAGATACACATCAATTGATGTGAAATGATCCACATTGGTAGACAGTCAGTTTCTAAAGAGATGCATGTATTCATGAATTTCACTTATTTGAAGACAAAAGCATGGACCATTTTCTTATGAGCAAGTGGGTCCCCTTCTAAAACCACAAGTATGGGCCCTGCCTCACCTGAAGGCATGCTAACAACTCTTTCATTTTTCCAGCCCTGCGAGTCAAATTTTTATAGATAGCTATCAGTATAGCTTACTACAAAACTGGCAGAACTAAACTTCATCATGAAAAGCATTTCCCAAAGAACCTTGAATTTGATGCCATGAGGGTAGTCCTTATGCAATTCCTTGTGAAGCTTCTCATCTGCCTCATCCCCACAAGCATACTTCACACCACAAGTAGAGCAAGTATGAAGAAGAAAATCTGACTGCCCCAAATCCAGGTGAAGTTGTGCTTAACATTTAGGACTTTGCTTGAGATAGTGGTGGATGCCACCTGGACACCTACAGTCTTGGGAGCATTTACAACACTGTGACTGCCAGTCTCATTGTTACTGAAAGATCAAAATGCCAACGTCCTGTTTATTTAACCGTTAAACACTGCAATGATTCTTATTACAAAAGACACAACAAACATCACTTTTCCCATGCTCATTTGTTGATGATATGCTAAGCAGAAGAGGAACTAAAACCTCCTACAAAAGGAATGGAGTTGATAAGCAAAGAAGTTTATTATAGTGCTGTTGATAAACTTTTATGTATACAAAGGAGAAAGATTTGGGCATTGTATAGAAGGTATCTATTGTGGCTTATTTTGATACATTTTCAACACTGATTTGAACAATATAGTTGATCAAATGAAGGGCTTATTTTGATTCTTAAAGGCAGCAAAAGATTTCATTGCTTAATCTATTGGAACAGCAATTCATGCAAATCATACATTTGACAGTTTACATTGTATATTCAGTGAAACTGTATAATGTGAACCATGATTCTTCAGGAGACATGCACCTTAACACTGCAGAATCCATACAGGTGTTAATAACACTGGGTTGAGATAATAATCTAACAATTTTATAATGCTAGCTACCAAATTTTGAATGGGGAAATAATGGACAAAAACCAGGAGGGCTACAAGGGTCAAAAGAGAAAAATAAATTAAAAAACTGTGTGATTGTATTCTACATAATTATGGAAACCAATGAACTAATTAAAATTAAACGGGTTGGCGAAGAAATTCCAAACAAACAAAATAAGACAGAAGAGAAGAGCAATAACTGATAAAATACAGAAATTAACAATGTATCTCAAAGAGAGAGAGAGAGAGAGAGAGAACCAAAAATTATACGCAGAAAAAAGTAGAAGCAGACCTTGAAATGGTTGTTTTGGTATTACTAGTTTCATAATTGAATGGAGGAAGATTTTGGGTAGGGGTTATGGTGGATGATGATGATGGGTTTTGGGGCTTAAAGAAAGCATTTATCTTAGTCTGCATAAATTGCGCTGTTTTTTGGGTATCCGATTTGCGAAAAGATGAAAGCTAAAACCAATAGGCATATTGCCAAGGAAAAGGGGAAAAAAGAAAGGAATGTGGAAGCTGGGAATTTCTCAGGCAAATAGGGAGAGTACCGATCTACCGACGGAATAACTTCCCGCCAAGAATTCAATTGACAATGCACAGTATTACTATTAGGGCCTGGACACTTGTGAGTCCCTGAATTTTTAAACAAACTTGTGGCCCATTCTGGGTTAATTCCAGAGTAGGCCGTGACCTAACATTTTCCCTTGAAATCAATGAGAGGCCTCTTTGCATTTCTGGATATTCCATTCTAGACTGACATGGGTATAATTCGGGCCTGAAGGCAGATCAGGCCCATCACAGTTCTGATAGCCTAAAACAGTTCCAATTTGGATCTCCCTATTTGCCTTACTCATATTGTCCCAATTACGTCTTGTTTGATAACTCACAATTCAGCAAGTAAATTTAATGGATTCGAATCTTAGTATATTAGACCGTTTAATAATAAAAAATTAAACATTTAAATTACTTAAGTAGCACTAAATTTTCTAGACAAAACTTGCTCCTAAAATTAAGTGATAAGCTATTCACTTATCACTGAATGTGATATGCACTCAAATGTATTAGATCTAATGCTTAACAATTCAATAATTTAATGGATTAAAATTTCAGATTTCAAATTTCAAACTTTAGTTTTCAGACTTCAATTTTATCAAATGCACCACTCTTATTGTTTGATCTGAGACGTTGTTTAATAATCTAATTCAATACTTAAACTTAATCGATTAAGATATTAGTATGTTCAGATGTGCTTGATAATAAAAAATTAAACATCTTAATTAATTAAATGGATCTGAATTATGTATGCAAAACTTACTTCAAAAAAATAAGTTATAAAGTTATTCATTTATCACTTAATGCATAATGCGCTCAAATTTTTGGGTTACAAAATATTTACACTTCAATAAATTGGTGGATTCATCTTAATAATAAATAATGAAAATGATATAGAATAACAAATTAGTTGGGGCAAAGGAATTAATTATGGAGTAGTAAGATTTTCCGGTTTCCTGATTGAAGTTGGTAGGAAGACTTGGGATAAATCTGATGGTAGTGAACAAATACAAAGGTACCAGTAAACACGTGGAAAGTGTCATCATATATGGAAAAAATTAAAATAAAAATGACGACAGATTTTCTTTTTCTTTTTCTCTTTTTTTTTCATACGAACGCATAATTGATACTCTGTGTATAGATATTTTCACAACTAGCATTTTAAATTTTTGCCTCGCAACGTGGGCCGAGGATCGAAAGGCCTTGATAATGGGGATGACCTCCCATCCAACAGCAATTCAAGTTCCCCGCGTGGTTGAGGGATGGTACTGTGGAATGTACACATTTGGTTTCCGCTTTCCAGTTTGGGGTTGGATATGGGCACTTCACCTGAGAAACCTTTGGTGGTGTTATATTTTTTTTGGGTAAGAATGAAATTAACTCAGAACACGCCCGGAATCCTCAATGTCATTTCTATATATATGTCAAGTGTTTTATTTATTTAATTTGTTATGTGCTGTTTATTTAAATTTCTTCTACCATCACGTGATAAGTGGGATTGACACTGAATTTGACACTGAATAGTGGCATAGAGGATCCCAACTGCTCAGAACAGTGTCTAAATATTAGGGCAACAAATGTGATCATGCATATTTACATAATAAATTAGATATAATTTATAGCTAGCAATAAAATAATTTTTGAACGATTTTTATTAGAGAAAATTATTTTAGTAATCTTCAAAACACTTCAGGGCGCCCCTTCCCTTCCTTTGCATTATTAAATGAAGTTTAATTAAGAAATGTTTGAGATTTTTTGAGAAGTGCTGATATTATTTCCCTTCTTATTCACGTGGCAAGATTATCCCCAATCAGTTTACTCCATATATTCTCATTGATTTTTCCAGATCCATTAAGCACTAATTACTCATCTTCTCCTCTATAATTAAGTTTTTCTCCTGTACTCTCTCTCTCTTTCTAGCCTAACTGGGAGAGTGAGTGAGCATAGGAGAAAAAATTAATTAGATAGAGACAAAGAGAAGTAATTAGTGGATAATGAACCTTAAGAAAATTAATGAGAATATATGGAGCGTGTGATCTTCTTTTTATGTATATAAATTTCTCTCTTCCTTTTAAAGGAAAGGTTAAATGGCAATATGACGTGCAAAATCTTGCAACAAAAATCTGGGGGATACCCTCGTTCAAGTCACTTGGAAAAATTGATATGGAGCAAAAATCAGGCATGATTCAATCCTCTGAATTATGGAGTTTCCAAGCAGAGATGAAGTAGATAATGTCTAATGATACACGTCGAGCTGAGTCATCCAGTGTGCTACAAATTCTAGTTCAGGAGTTGAAGCTTATGAAATTCTTGGATAAGGCCTTCTTTTCTCTTCACTATAAATAGTCAGCTTCAACAATGGCGCATAGGTTCATTGCAATAGTGCTTCTCTTACTCTCTGTTGTGCACTTTTTATCATTGAAGCAGAGATGACTATCAACGCCGAGCAACATAACCATGGTATTGTGTTTTTAGCTATTTCCTCTATTTTTTTCGTTGTTTTTTTGGGTTACGTTCACTCTTCCCTTTCTATTAGCAGGGTCTGAAGTAGAGGATAAAAAGACAGATTCCGTCGCTGATGATCTCTTCTCAGACAGTGGAGTCGTGGTTCCAAAGAGTGCGGCAAATGATGGATTTGTTGTGCCTGGAAGCAATGCATTTGGCAACTCATTTAGGTAGTTGCTTTCCGTAGCTGTTGTTAATCCTATAAATACGATCTTTGACCATAGAGGTATTCTTGATTCTCACAGGAATGATCAATTTCATGACATAAATTATTGTCTTGCAGGGATTATCATGCAGAAACCGAAAGGAAGAAAATAGTTGAAGAATTATATCGACTCAGCCACATTAACCAGACCTATGACTTTGTAAATAATAAATTACAGTTCTTCAGTTCTTCGGCTTCTGTGGTGATATCTTACTTGTTCATCAGCCGCTGTCTTTTTCGCTTTTGTTAATACTTAATGCAGGTGAAGAAAATGAGGGAAGCTTATAAGAAAATGGACAGGGTGGAGATGAGCATATGGGAGTGCTGTGAACTGCTTAATGATGTCGTGGATGATAGTGATCCTGACTTGGATGAGCCACAGATGGAGCACTTGCTCCAAACTGCTGAAGCTATCAGAAGAGACTATCCAGATGAAGATTGGTTGCACCTAACTGGCCTAATCCATGGTATCTACTTTCTTTATTTACCAAGACCTAAACAAGTAAAATATTTCAACTCCTCAGATTAGTTCTTCCAAAACATTCTCACCGTTTTCTCAATCTCCTCGCCCAAAACTTCAGACCTCGGCAAAGTGCTTCTCCTGCCTAGTTTTGGAGGGCTTCCACAGTGGGCTGTTGTGGGTGAGTGTTTTCTTGGTCCACACAAAGATGGCTTTCTTATTAAATCTTAACAAAGAACTTTCAACTCATAGGCATGCATGCAAATGCTGTCCTGCAGGTGACACATTTCCCCTCGGCTGTGCATTTGATGAGTCAATCGTTCATCATGAGGTCTACCTTCTTATGGCCAAATGTTTTTACCTCTAATACATACCTGATCTAGAAGCTTTTCCAAAATAATGGTCAATGCAGTTTTTCAAGGACAGCCCTGACTATAACAACCCTGCTTACAACACCAAACATGGAGTGTATACTGAAGGATGCGGGCTGGAAAGTGTTCTGATGTCTTGGGGGCACGATGACTATATGTACTTGGTACATTATTCACATGATTTAACTATATTTCAAGAAGTTGACTTTGATCACTAACAAGAAAACGTATATGAAATAACGCAGGTGGCCAAAGAAAACAAAACTACCTTACCACCTGCAGCATTGTTCATCATCCGATACCATTCCTTTTACGGTAAGAATTTGCATGGTATCCTTCTTTTTTGTGACATCTATTGGATGATGATGCGAATGATTAGTTGTTTGCGATCAACCATGAAGCCTTGCACAAGGCTGGTGCATACAAGCACCTGATGAATGAGGAGGATGTTGAAAATCTGAAATGGCTCCAGATATTCAAGTAAGGGATGTCTTTGTGCTTCTTTCTCTGTTTCATGTCTGATATTTGAATTTGCTTGTTTCATTTCGATATTTTAGTGCATATGGCTAAATGGCCTGTTTTGCCTGGTTATACGCAGCAAATACGATCTGTACAGCAAAAGTAAAGTCAGGATTGATGTGGAGAAGGTCAAGCCATATTATCAATCCCTCATTGAGAAGGTGAATTTAACTTTCGGTTGGTTTTCTTTCAACAGTCTATTCGGTGCTTCCACTGATGTGTGAGTATCATTATTTGCAGTACTTTCCTTCCAAGCTCAAATGGTGAGATGATCATCAAGAAGCTCAAAGAATAAAGTGAAGAAATAAAGCACCATGCTGCTGAACTTGGAGTTGCGATAATGTTTATGTTCGATTAATCTTTTTGTTGCCAAATTCTAGTTTGTTTCTGGATATCATGTACTTCTTATTAATCACTCCTTTCCGCCTCAATATTTTCTGCCCGTTCTTTTGCTTCCCTTTGTTTAGTTGGGTTGGTTGCGTTTTCGGTAAAAACATATGCAGTCTTCTCCACAAGGACTGCCGGAATTCATATCATCAAAATAATGTCAATTTCCTAATTGGTGGAAACAGCCTAACATTATCTTTCCCTTTGATGCAACAATAGAAAATTTGGTCGGGTAGAACAATATTGCGACTTGTGGTGAAAAAGGGAATATCCAATGATCAACAAAAAAGGGGAAAAATCTTTTTTCTTGGTTCATTTTAGTACTAATTCTTTAAGAAGATAAAATGCAGGACCACAAAATATCACAGAGCCTCCTAGTCAAGCAAAGAAGGAAATCTGAAGGTGGGGTGCCCTTGGAAAAACACATCCTGGTGTTAGCAAATTCCGTCACATCATATATGTCCTGATAACAACTTGAGAGAGGCTGAATGATAAGACTACCAAAAAACATACTGCCATCACCTCCTATAAAAGATCAGGCAACTGTGGTTGTGATTGATTCGTAAAGGAAGCAAAAAAGCATGTAAAATCAGCAACTAAAAGCAATAGTAAAGCTCCTCATGGCTACATCTGCTACAGTTAGCATTTCAGCTTTATCTAATATACAAGGAGGTGAAACCAGAGAAAGAAAAGGGAACATAAACAGTGCAAAAGACAAGGGAAGAAGAGAGCTGCTCTTTTCTGCTGCTGCGACAGTTGCTCAAGTAACTGATTCCAGGACCGACCTGCTTAAAAGTATGGGGCAAAAAATATACATATACATCTGCTTTGTTGGTATGGGAAAAAATAATTCTATGTTGCAGACCATTTTTTTTGGTACATTTTTCCCATACCAACAAGCTATTTACTCATGTAGATCATTATTTGATTAAATGAAGCTTTTTTAAGAGCTTATTTGCTACAATTTTTTTCCCTCAGAATATTTGAAGAAATCCGAAGAAAACAAGACCAAAAATGACAAAGAGGTACATTTTCTTCAATAGCAGAATTGGATATCCCAATTTGACAAAATTAGTCTATCTTTGTTTCTGGTAGAATTTTCTTAATACCACGTTTCTTATGTCCTTGTCTAAGAGACTGGATAGTTACTACAAGCGCAACTACAAAGATTACTTTGGCTTGCTGGAAGGGACTCTGAAGCAGAAGAAAGAACAGCTTTCTGAATCAGAGAAGGGCATACTTGAGTGGCTTGAAAAGAACAAATGAATGTGCATGGGATTTAACGATTCATGCTTCTCATGTTTGTCTACCTCTATTTTCATATGATGCAATGCAGAATATGCTAGAGGAAGCTCGTTGGAGTAATGAAGGCTTAGACCATCATATCTTTGATCTTGGTTAGAGTTATTACATTGTACAAGAACTTTAATTGGTCCTGAGCTACTTGTAGCGTACATTTAAACCAGCATACTATGCTACCGGTATACAACTATTTTACTGATAGAAACTAATTTCATCTGTCTACCTTCTTGACACACTACAAATATTTCTTTCCCCAGTCATACAACAACTTTGTTTTAGACTCTGCTGATGTTTTTCCCCAGCCAGCGTCAAACTGGCTGACAATAGATATCTTAAATCACGGGTTAGCAAGAGTGCCATCACTTGAAGCAAAATATTAATAAAAAATTTGAGAAGAACAAGGGAAAAACCTAAAAGAACAAGGAGTAGATAGTTACATGGTGAAAGGTAAAACCAAAATACAAAAGTATAAAAATAATTGCATATTGTCACCAAAACATGCTCCAGGAAACCCCCTCTCACCCCTCCCCCCCCCCCCCCCAAAACCAAAAAAAAACTTAACAGGAAGAAAAGAGAAGGAACTCCTTTTGGCTATTCATAAATTTCAAAAGTACTAAACTTTTAGCTGTAATGCAGTAAGTGGTTTCATCATTTGATAAGCATTCTTTGCATACTGGACGGATTTTGAATCCTCTAAAGGTGTAATTTCGCAATACAAAAAATAAACTAAATGTCTATCTAGAAACTCACCTACATGTTTGAGTAACTCTCCAGCAGCTTAAGAACATCAATGTTCAACATGTACTCAGTCAGCAACAGAACCAATCATCTGCATAATATTGGGCAAAGGGAACTAAATAATTGTACAATATGTTGTCAAAACTCTAGAACACGTTATCAACAATCTGCTGTATGCTTTCAGTAACAATCCGGGCAACAATGTCAGGAGAGAATCTACTGATCATGTCTTCCCTTGCCTGCATTCCTTTGGCTTTAGCTTTTTCAGGGTTGGTAATTACATGCCTCATCAGAACTTGCAGCAGCTGGACAGAGGGCTCAGACCATAAATGGCCTTTAAATGGGCCTTCTTTCACTTCACTCATTCGTTCCACAGGTAATGGGTAACTATTATCCTCTGTCAAGTACTCAGTTGGCCCCGACCAGTTTGTAGCAATCACCGGTAATGACATAGCCATGGCCTCCACTACAGGCCTACCCCAGCCTTCTCCTCTCGATGGCAGAACAAATGCATCAGCTGCCTTGTAGAGTCTTGGCAAATCAACCTGAGCTATATGTGCATCAATGACATAAACTGGAGCCCAACCATTAACAGGTTTTTCCAAGTCTGAGTCCTCTACATATTCAACAATCTTATTACCAAAATCTCTATCAGAATGGTAAGGATTCGTTAACAAATACAAAGCAACATCATCAGCATTTGAAAATTCCTTCAAGTAAGACCTCAATAACACATCCCACCCTTTTCTATACTCCCATTTGAAAACGCTCAAGAACACAAAATTTCTCCCCATACTCAAGTTCTTAGTCTCTGACCCTAACACCAACGACCTTATTGAGGCAAGTTCCAAAGGCTCGTGCTTTACTGGATCAAAAAACTCCAAATCAACAGGCTGAACAATCTTGACAACCTTCGATGGATCAACCCCACTCTGCACAAAACTCCTTACATGAAATTCAGTAGGAACCCAGACATAATCCATCTGATTACACCTCTTAACATGCTCAGCGTTCACCCTATCAGTCTCAAACATAGTCCTCCCAATCACAACCTTAACATCACCAAAACCGGTTGGTGGGCATGGAAGGGTCTGAAACAGTGGAGGATACCAAGCACCTGGCTCACTATGACAAATTACAATAGTCTCATTCAATCTACACTTACTTTGATAAAGCTCAATAGCCAAGTTCCTCATTCCGAACGGTAAACCCTCCCAAAATTCAAAATTTTCTAAATCACCGTGCTGCTCAATGCTCAATCTAAATTTAAATCTCGGGGGTTCATTCTTTTTCATGTAATTATTTAAGGATAAAATGTAAGACCAAGCTTCAGAGCTGTACCCACCTCCTGAAAGGAAAGGTGCCATCCACAGCAGACAGTAAGGGGAAGTGGGACTAATGCTCGAGGGATTTGGGGCATTTTGGTTTGCAATTGGGTGGAGGGATCTTAGGAGTTTGTTTAGGAAATTGGGGTGTGATGTGAGGGTTGATTTTAGTTGGTGCGATTTGTAGTGGTTCGTTTTGGGGATACTCAAAGAAATTGCCACAAAGAGCACCAAGACTGATAGTAGATAAAAGAGTTTCTGTTTAAAGATAAAGGGGTGTGCTTGGGGGGCTTGAGTTCTTGATTGATGGGATTCTTGGTTTGCCCCTGAATTCATAATCTGATTTCCCGGAGAATGGATAATAAAAGCCAAGTTCAAAAAATGTTGAAAAGAAAACGAAGAATCTAGTTCACAAAACCCAATTTAAGGAATTAACTAGCAAAACACAGATAATTAGAGGGGGTTTACCGACTTAACAGGTGCTCTTCCTTCGGCGAGGCAAGAGAGACCCTTTGATCGAATTCGAAAGTGCTGCAGCCTTAGCTAGGCGGGGAGTTGTTGGACGAAGTGTGTAGTGAGCTAAAACTATTGCAGAAGAAAACAAATTCCTTCCTCAATCAGTTCGCTGGCAATGAAGGAACACAGTTAATGGAGCATCCCCACGAGGTCGTCAGGAAAGCAGTTAAACTTTATTTTCCTTTTTCTTTTTCTTTTAAAGCGAAAAGAAGTCACTAAAAGCGTGGAACATTTTTACCGGCCTTTGGTTGGCTTGCTTATCCTGATTCCATGACATGAAAAGTTAATGGAGCATTTACGTTTGGTGAAAAAGCAAGCAAGCAACCATTCACTCCACTCGGTTGAAAAACTGATTAAGAGGAGATTGAATGCTTAGTGCCCGGTCATAAAGAACGAAGACATTGAAGTTATTATAACCTGAAGGAAACATGAGAATATAGCCAATAGTTGACAAACCACGTTTCGGTGTCTTTTATTCAGGCACAAAATGCTGAAGAAGTTTGTGATGGAAAAAACAGTTAATTATCACTTCTGCTGTGAGTTGGGATGCTGAGGTTACATACTGTTCTTTGTACTAAAAGCTGACACACACATTTACATAATCGTTAATAGAGAGCTTATTCCGGTGATGATTATTAGAGTCATGTACAATTGGGTGGCTAATGAAAGCATCCCGTTGGAGTTCATGTACAACAGTCAGAATGACCATATCTACAAGCACGAGTCCTCAGCAACGTAGGGAAAACTTTTCCCCAGGCACTACACATTTACATCTTCGAACGAATGCGGCTTAGACTCGCTTCAATTGCTCCATGTGGTTCATCAGTTGGTAAATATACATCATCTTCAAACTGCAAAAGTCAATTACAGACAGCAGTTACAGCTTAGCATATCTGTAGATGAATCTAGCGTGCGTACTACAGAATTTCTCATTTCTATCGTCTCATCCACACTGCCACTGCAGTGTTACAAAGTTCAGAGGAAGCACTGAAGTTAAAAGTTGGACTTCAGCCAAAGATCACAGATGCATTTTAGTACAAGATTCATAAAACATGACCTCCTATGCAACTTATGACTGCTTTTCACAACAACTGTCCAAGACTAGTTGCTCAGTCTCTTCACAAGCCTGCAATTTTGTTAATTTGCTTTATCACATAAACTATGTGCTCCCAAGTGCATGTCTGACAATAGTTATCCCAATCAGTATAGAAAGTCAGTGATCTTACTTTCACAATGACCGGATTATCTTTGCTCGACAGGTTAACTGGTAGGAAATGAATGTTTGGCATCTTCAAGTCAACTGATGATAAATCATGAAACCTGAGATCATGAATATCAAGTGTCACTCAACTCCAATAATAGCATGTAAAAACAAGTGTCATGCCAAATATGAGTGGAAGATTTTGTCTCAAGGTGGAGACACCCACCCATCCACCCAGACACACACACACACATAGAGAGAGAGAGAGAGATAGGGAGGGAGGGAGAGAGAGAGAGAGAGAACCTTCCCAGAACAGCCTTTGCCATCTCGTATAGAGTGTACTGAACAGATGGACTGTATACTCCCATTTTAGGAGTGCCAAAGAAAGTGTCGACCAAAACCTTTTTCACACCAGTATAGCTATTGAAAAAGTAAAGTGGCTGCACAGGGATATTTTCAAGAGAATCGAAAGCATATCTGCACAAAGCAATGTATTCAGGGCCTTTAAGTACCACTATTAGGCAGAATTTAAGTACCAAACTCTGTAAAACAGAAAGAGATGAGAATCTTCGGGATTGCATAATACCCAGAAATTGGACAGTTCACATAATTCCTAGTGTCGCATTTTTTAACATAAAAGGGCATGTTGTACCTCCATGATGCAGTGACCTCAGTTCCCAATAATCTCTCCTGTGTATCTGGCAGCATCGTGTATTTGTCCCTTATAAATCCTTCAAAGCCTGACTGTTAAGAAGGCAAATGAGAAGCATGTTGCGCATGTGCTACATTTTATTGTACAACTGGCTGCTTTTATTCGAAATCAGATTTCTGAATAAAAAAAATCAAGAAGTTCACTTTGCATTATTCCTTTTTTGCAGCATGAAAAGGAATTTCTATTTCCTATAAGTTTGAAAAAATAATATTATGCTTTGTTGTCCAACAATGCACACTAGGGACATGTGGAAGTGACCAAGACAGGTTTGAAACATCTATCATCAGCCTCACTGACCTTAGTCATTCTCTACTGAACATGCAAGGCAATTTGACTCGCAAAAGGAGAATAAAGGAAAAACTTTAAGCACAACCAGAAGAAAAAATCTGTAAGGAAATGCTTTCTTCCAATTTCAAGGTGTTTCAGATAATGATGCTTGTCAAAACCAAATATGTTGCTAATTAGAAGATGACAGAACACAGATAGAATAGACATACAGCAACAAATAGATTGATTCCATGAATGACTTACTTGAGTTGTCTTAAGCAATTTCAGTTTTCCAATACCAGAAGCCACCTGCAAAGCTCCGCATTTCTTTACTACAACTTCTGTCGTATGCTCCTCAGATCCCAACTTAAAACCTATCGGCAAAGAAGTAGCAATGAAAATTTTTATTCACAATAAATGCAAATTCAATTTTGTTATGATGATGAAATGAAAGCTAAATTTTGAAAGCAAACTGTAGCTTGAGCTCTCACCAGGGAAGGATAAGTAGATTTTACAGCACATGATAGGAAATTCATACATCATTTTCACAGTTGTTTGTGTATATGTGCACAAAGATTGACATCATTTATGCTAATAAGTATATCAATAACCATAGTTTGGGTGGGAAGAATTAAAGCAACTATACGCTTGCTATTACTCACCAACACAGATTCTGAGATTAAGCAAATAGTACCAAACTTAGATCTCAGCTCCAAAAATATGACAATAGGCTAAAGCTTGAAAAAGAAATAGTCAATACATAAAGCAGTTATTGCAACAGTACAAAACTGTTGAATACCATCCTCAAATGAGCCAAGAATTAGTAGATGTTGCAGTTTGATCATCATGTCTTAAGTAATTCAATTAGTCATCAAGTGAGTACCAAAACATGTAATTTTTGAAGCATGGCATTAGATAGGAACACCAGATCGGGTAATCTGCTTCTGATGTAGCAAGATTTTGATATATAATGCAGGAAACCAGCAAAAGAATATGATGCAAAGGAGAAGTTGAACACACAAACATAAGTATTAAGCCTTGCAGCACTTCCAAGTTAGAACAGGTAAAGGAATAGCTAATTGGTAAGTTCAGAAACAAGCATAATTGTAATTAACCCGGAAAAAAAAAATCCTCAACTGCTTCGTGTGTTCTTTTAATTGATTCAAAAAACTTACCATGTTTATGGGATTGACCATCTACAGAGACACGCTCCCATTGCTTTTCCGCAATATTGACAATTGCGGTGGTGACCTACATTGGAAGATTGGAAGCAGAAATGGATGTCAGAACTACTACACAAATTCCTGTCAGTTAAGCAGCCTGGTCAACGCACTAAATTTGTTCTCACCCATCAACCCCACCTCCCCAAAAAAAAAAATTTTTTGCTTGAGAAATTTATAGCCCTTCTGGAGAGGAAGAAACCGAAGCAGATCATATTGCTTAACGTTCCAGAAAATGCATATAAAAGTCAAAACCTTTAATAGTTCTTTGGATCCATAGCAAATAAGCAAAAGATGAACTGTTTTATTAAAGATGCATCATATGGCATGGTGACCATCAAAAAGTGCAGGGCAGAGCTATAAACATCAAAACTGAATTTTTTAACTATAACACTTTAAGAAACAAGATTCATATAATATCATAATCGCATAATTGTATGAAAGATCAAAATTGATAGATTTGATAGTATGAAATTACCGGGTGGTAGAAAGTAGAGAAGTGGTTGGCAAGTTTAATGGCAAAAACCTCCACTGGGATCCGTTCAGAACATTCCTTAGCTTTAACATACACCTGTTTCAAATGGTCCATGAATACCACAGAGAGATGATTGAAATACCGTCTCAAAAAAATTAAGTTTTTTTGACTTTCATACGGTGTTTTTCATGGTATCGGTGGCGACGATGTTAGAATTATCGCCGGTGACATATGCAGGGATACAATCGGAGAGGAGGCGGATGCTGACGTTCCACTCGACGAAATGATGGGTGCCGTCAACATCTCTCCACACTCTCCCAACTCTCACTCTTTCCTTGCCGTGGCGCTGCTCTAGCTTCAGCCCTTCAACAACCGCACCTTCTGCCATGCTACCTCTGCAGATTTGTCCTCTGTTTTGGTGGAAGCGTTACCCTTTGCAATTAGGAGTGGTGGAGTGACCTTTGTGTAGGCTTTCATGTGCGTACTACATAGAGGCAAGATTCTGTTTGGATTGCAATTATGGAGAATATATATTTTAATAATATGATATGTATAAGATAAAAAATAATTAAATATATCAATAGAATATCTAAAAATAGTTTCAATGAAAAAACTAATGTTGAATACACAATTTTTTTTTAAACCAAATACTATATTCACCTAACTTGTTTTGAGTTTTGACGAATGCCTTAGTGTTGTTGCCTAGATGAGACTTGAGAGGCACCAGGACCAGGAAAGTTCGCAGGACATCAACCCAAGATTGTGAAGCCACTTCGCCCGAACAGAAAAAAGAAAGGTAATATTTGCACTCGCATTCACATATATTCCAATTTCCAACCTTCCTTAGACTCCATTGTCCACAGTAACGCTCATTCCTGTGGGCATTACCCAACTTAGACTTGTGGCCACGTTTGAAAGAAGCAAAGATTTGATTCTAATATTTGTATGTTGGTAGTGCGGTCCCATCATCTGGAAAAATTGGTTGGGCACAGAAATGAGGTCATTTTCCTCTTACACTGGATTCATGCAAAGTCTGGAACTTGTACAGAGAAAACAGGTTATGTGCAAGCTGAAGAACAACAGGAAATGAGGAAAATCAGAGGCAACACAGAGAATAGCTCCAGCAGAAACAATGAGGGATCCAGTGTATGGAAGCAGCTATGGAGTCTAGGCAAAAAGCACAAGTTGAAACACTTCTTGTGGAATTGCTGTGAAGGAGCTACTCAGGTCCAGAACTGGTAATGGAGATGCTTTGTGCAAGTGCTGTCAAAATACTTCTCCAATAGTCACAAATTTGAAAATTTTGCATTGCATTGGAATTAAACTAAGTAGTTAATAACCTTTTTATATAAGGGATTAGTGTGTGTGTGTGTTTGAATAAGTCACCGAGAAATGGTGGAAGGTTAGGCGTAAACGGACTTGTTTTAAATTTCTTTAAATTTTTTTTTAAAAATAGTGGAAGGTTGGTGGAAACTTTAGTCCTAGGCTTCCTCCAGATTGGTTCTGTATTCTTCAAAACACCATTATCGCTACGAGGCCCAATCTCACGAACGTCACCCTCTTTTGGTCGCTTGGGAGGCCTTCCACCTCCACGGCCTCGACGATTATCGGAAACAGCCAGCGGAGGAGACATGGATGAATTACCAAATCCTGCTGGCACTCGGAGGACGTGAATTGCTTTGTGATGGATTTGAAAGGGATTGGTCTAATTATATCTAACTAGGCATTCGACCCCGCGGCTGTCGCGGGGTGCCCATATTATGTAGTGTAACAGTGTTAATTGATGATTTATTTACGAAGAAGATGTTTACGTATGACATAGGTTCTGAATATATAAGCAAAAAGCATGCGTTATTTTTATATACATTCTAATTGGCGAGTGCAGCTTGCTACAAAAGTTAGTTGCAATTTTTACAGAACAAAATTCTAACGAGCTGCCTTGGTTGTTGAACAAAAAGTGTAGTTTTTACTCTTACATCCGACTGTAATGTGAACTGGTTAGTCTAGTTTTTGATGTTTTGTGACCTGAGAGAAATCTGGCTCAAGATTGTGCTTGACGGATGATGACATTTCTGCTAACAGTGAGGTTGAAGAGGCAGGTATTTCAGTGACATTTGTGTCTGAAACAGTTTCTTCAGCTGTATTGCTGAGTGCAGATGTTGGTCCTGTTAGTAGTGTTGGTGGCGTGGTCTGAGCCAGTTGATCAGAGAGAGTTTCACCTGCTGATTCTTCTGGGATGAATGCTGTTAAAAAGTAGAGTGGCGTGTATTGTCTCTGAGGTGGCCAATATGATCTGACTTCACAAAGTAGTGTTTGCCTCTGTAATTCTTCATTGATGCGCTGGATGGGAATTGGATCTTGCTGTAATATATATTTATTATAGTAAATGTTAAAAAGCTATGAATATGCATGTATTATATATTACCTTTTTATGAAGGTAAGTTCAATTCAGTACCTTGAGGTATCTTTCATAGATTTCTGAACCAGTGAATCCAAGTAATGTTTCTGCATGCCTGTCCTCTGCTGTGATTGATAGGAATCCGGTGTCATCGGTGATATTGAGCTGGACTTTGGCTCTATTGAAGTATTAGGAAAAGAGACTTTAAAATTTTTACTTGGCAAAAGAATTGTAATTACTGTACAGCTATATCAAATCGAACACTTACTTTGGTCTTGGAATTTTGTTTTTGGAATCACAAAAGTTACAATCAAATTCAACATCCATCAAAGCGCCAGTAGACTTGTTGCAAGTAGGACAAGTAGGAGAGAAAAAGCGTTGGTTGAGATTTACTATTAATGGCATTCCTTTGATCCAGAAATGTTTCATCTGTTGTCGTAGGAGTTTAAAATGATAATGCATAAGTTTCCAAAGGACAAGGGAAATATTTGAGAATGTAAAAAGGGAATATAAATATGTGTTATATGAAATCTTGATATACTGGAGGTGTAATGAGTATGAGAGAAATAAATATAATGATGGATGAGGGATATTGTGAAGTTATAGGAACAATGTGGATCAGGCATTAAAGTGCAACTTGAGTAAGGAATGAGATGTACCTGTGGTGTGGAAGAAATGATCTGTGAGATTGGCCGTATTTGGGTTTGAAGTGGTGGAACTGGCTGCTGCTTGTCCTTTTCATATAATTTCTCATTGATGACTTTGTGAATGTATGATCTGTTCTCATCGATCCTGTAATATAGGCTAAGAGTTAGAATAGTGACTCATATAGATATTTCTTATGAGTAGATCAATCCTAGTTCTAGAGGGTGATGTAATTATTCATACCAGATTTTCATTGTGGCTGCTTGTTGAAGTGGGGGATCAAGAACTATGGTAGTATTCGGTCTTGTAGTGATATCAATTGCTTCAATAATCCAGGTAAATGAGTATGTGAAAAGTAAAAAATAATAATGTATTGAGTCAATGTATATAGATGAGTATCTGATAAGAAAAATATATGTTTGTTTGTGCCATAGAGGATTTACCATGAAATGCTGTGATCTTTGGCCTGATAATCAGTATGACTGGATTTGTGTGAATCATATTCATCAGTTGAATTCCTTCAATATAGACGAATGGCTCCCACATGGTGAAAATCATTGGTCTGCATCTGTACCAATAATATATATGATAATCTTAATGAAGGTAAATATATATACAGGAATATATGCATTTTTAATATATGATATCTGTTTAGATGAGTATAAAATTCAAAAAAAAACATTAAGTGGAAATCATACTCTGGGTTTACAGCAACAAATCTCCGAATTGTTCGAGGTCCTCTAGCAGTTGGTATGATTGTTTCTGGGAATCCTTGTATAATAGCACAGAGGATATCTGCAGTGAAATATTGAGTAAGTGAAATATAATTTCTGCAACATAGTTAATGTGAAAATATATAGTCTATTTATCTGTAATTGTAAGTTGAGGAAGGGAAGCAGTACTAAATCTATCAACATCACTATTTTTGTATTTGTCAAGCTGCCAAAATGAAGTAATGGGGAAATGATCTTCAAATTGTATTTCTTTTGCGTTGGTTGCTGCTTTAATGAAGGTGGCCTTTGTTACTGTGAGTCGATATGGCAGGGATCCAGCTTGATTTCTTGCATCTGTTATAGGGGATATACTGGCATTGCCAATATAATATGCATGATATAGTTGAAGCTTGTTGTCTGCATGGCTTACATCTCTATTGAATGCAATTGCTTGAATTGTTTCATTCTGGAAAAAAGAGTAGTGAGTTACATATATGAAGTAGCTAATTAGAAGAAGGAAAGATAATAGGGATGAGAAATGGTGTATACCAGTCAGATGGCAAAAAGCATGAGCAAGTCTATGGTAAAAGATACAAGCAGTTTATAAGAGAGAGGAAAGTATAAGTGTTTTACTTTTTCATTTGCAAACATGAAACGCTGGAACAAAGAGCCTTGGTCTTTTGCAGGGAATATATTTGATTTTTCCATCACAATGATCTTGATCATCCAATCGTGAGATTTTTCTGTTAGATCACTAATCGGTGTGCATCTGTTGTCCATATCTGTAGTATAACATAAAAAGGTTTACAGCTGTTGAATAGATTAACTTATAGAAGCAGACAGGAGGCATACACATAATCATATAATATAACCATGCAGAAAATTATTACTCAAGTATCAGCAGTTGAATAGATTAACTTATAGAAGCAGACAGGAGGCATACACATAATCATATAATGTAACCATGCAGAAAATTATTACTCAAGTATCAGCAGCAGCAGCTAGGATTTCGTGATAAACAATATTTCGAGTATAACTGGTTTCTGTAGAATGGACAGTAACAGATCTTAGCAAGATCTTCACATTTGCTGAGGTTCTTGCTCTAGACAATGCAACATATAATTGTCCATGTGAAAACACAGGTTCCTTTAAGTATATTCCAACAAAATCAAGTGTTTGTCCCTGTGACTTGTTGATTGTCATAGCAAAGCATAATGAAATTGGAAACTGAGTTCGTTTGAAGGGTATTGGATAAGACTCATCATTGGAACTGTGCAATGGAATACGAGGAATGAAAACATGCTTGCCAATATGAATACCAACTGAAATTTCAGCATGTATTATATTCTTATCAAAATTTAAACAAATGAGACGTGTTCCATTGCATAAACCTTGTGCAGGGTTAAGATTTCTAAGAAGGATAACTGGGCACATTGGTTTCAAAATTAGTTCATGTGGAGGCAATCCAGGAGGCTGAATAGAATTTAAGAAATCTCCATGATCAGCTTGTTTTGTTGGATCAAGCGTTTGATCAAAACTGAGGTATCTGGTTTCTTGTCCTGGAAATCTTTGAATCAAAATTTGATTGACTTCTTGAACAGTCTCATTTGTTGTACTCAAAATAGCTCTATTAGCAACTGCAGAGCTGCTGGTTAAAAAGTCAAACAAGGATGGATACACAGTATTTATTAGTAGGTTTAATGAGGTTGTATCATCAATAAAAGGTATAAGCATTGAAGAAGGAAGCTTGATTTTGTTATCTAGAATAGTTGGCTCTGTTCCATCTCCTATTTTCAACAAGAAATCAGAAAATGAGGGATCTAACCGTGCTCTCATATTTTCAGTGAGTCGGATTTTTTCTAGATGAGGCCACAGGTAAGAATTGACAAGGGATGCAGAGATGTAATCTTCTCGTTGCCTTTTTCTAACCACCGGCAAAGTTTGTCGAAAGTCTCCACCAAAAACAATTACTTTTCCACCAAAGATGGAGTCAGAATTCAGCAAATCTTTCAATAATCTGTCAAAGGATTCAATGGCATATTTTTTGGCCATTGCTGCTTCATTCCAGATTATTAGCCGTGCAAGTTGAACTAATTTACTGATGGCACTTTGTTTGGAAATGTTGCAGGTGCTGTTAATTTCTTGCTGAAGAGGTATCTTAAAACGAGAATGGGCAGTCCGACCTCCAGGAAGAATTGATGCTGCAGCTCCAGATGTTGCTGTTGCCAAGGCAATATCTCCCCTTGATCTAACAGTTGCAAGCAAAGCCTTATATAAAAAAGACTTCCCAGTGCCTCCAGGTCCGTCAATGAAGAATGCAGCTGGAACATTGGCATTGATTTTTTGCATTATTTTGTTAAATGCACTTCTTTGAGCATGATTGAGCATCGATGAAGCTGCCAAATCTTCTTCAGAAATGGGAATTGCGTATTCTGCTTCAATTTCTTTTGTGATAGCAGCGAAAGGCATTGTTGAAGTTAATTGTGAGAAGCCAAAATCTGCTATATTCTTTCCCATTATTTGTAAATATTCATCAATAAGATGAAGAACTTTTGCTTTCGTTTGTTCCTCTGATAGGAATGACTGATTTGCTATGTCTTCTGATAGGGAGTCATAAAATTTGTTCCAAAGGTTTTTTGGATTGCTCGGTGGACAATATATCAAGATAACAGCAAACAATTGCCTGAGAGATTATGGCATCTTGTATAGGGCAGCTTCTGATAGACATTGCTCCGTTCCATTGTCAATCTGTAATAATCCTTGAATTTCTGCAGCTCTTTTGAATGAACAAGCAATGAATCCATTTACTGTTTTGAGGTCAGTAAAGGATTTTGGTCTTTGAGGGTGCTCACCTCGGCCACCCCGCGTGTCCGAGGTGAAGTCACCTCGTCCCTCATCGGAGCCCATCCCTGTCTTGAGCACAACCCCAGAGCCCGGCTTCATCCCTAGTCCACCGTGTAGGTGACCTCGGCACATCCACCTCGGCCGCAGTCTGATGATGTGAACCTGCCTGACATCTTCCAGGATCAGCACTTTATCTGAAAAGCATGGGAGGCACTTGATGGCACCTGCACCATATCCTCCGTCATCACTCCCAAGCGGCTACAGTGTCAGAGTCAGGCTCCCCGACAGGAGACAGAGCCGTAATGTCAGAGTGGGTCCCACTAACATAAGTCCAGAGTCTCGCCTCTACTCTTCTATAAATACCTCCCTCACACTCCCACCAAGTAAGCGGACACTGTTCATTAACTCATTCTCATTATTCTCGTTCTCATACTAACTTGATCGTCGGAGTGATACCAGGGGAGAAGCCCCGCCACACACTTCGGACGAGGAGGTTCACTTCGGACACAGGAGTTCACCTCACTTTATCTCAGAGAGGACTGATCCAGGTCGGTCTAGTTACCAACCAAAAATCACCTCCTCAGTCTTCGAACATGCATCAGTAGCATTCTAAGATAATATCTCTCGCCTTCTATTGGATGTGCTGTGGTCACACGTCCAATGACTTGTCCACGTTTTCGAGCATACCAGATTCTATTATCTTCATCCCAGACAAAATATTGAGGAAATTCCTTATATAATAAATTGAGATCTTCAGCTTGCTTATTTGTTCGATTCATAGCAAAGAATTCTGTAAGCATTGTTCGTTGAAGTCTTTCATCTTCAATCACATCTTGCAATGGTCTGTCTTCATGGAAGGAGACTGGTTGATAATCTTGTAGATGTAAATGGAGAACAATAACAGCTGGATTAATAACACTGAGATCGAAAGCGAAGATTCTCCACATAGCTTCTGGAGCACAGATCCATCGAGCAGACTGGAAATTTTTGATTTCATCAACAATTTTGTCTGCTTGTTCTGCATTCAACTGATATATAACTCAGTCATGACCCTTGTATATATATTTATATATATATTTTACAGCTTCGATAGCAGAACAAACTTCAACGTTGATGTGGCAATCATATTTTGCTAAAAGATATGCATTATAATGGATAATCCAACGATTGTCTAACTGATGATCTCTGATCATGACACTGTTTCCATCATCACGCCTTCTATACAATGGATATGAGCTTTTTCCATGCTTGGTGAAGTCACAAAAATCTTTTGGATAGTTGTTTTTGCATTTTTTATTTTGTCGCATACAAGGGCTCTTTGGGTTCAAAGAGCCGCACGGACCATGAAGCATATGCTTTACAACAAGAGAGAATATATATGGTGATCTGATTCTGTCTGGCAACTCTGCAGAGACAATTCGGTCATATTCTTCTGGAGAGTGCATTTTCCACTTGTCTTTAAGGATGATCAAAAAGTGAGCGTGTGGCAGACCTCGTTTTTGAAACTCAATCACGTATGTATATGCTGCTACTTGTCCAAAAATATGCTTTTTCAATAGGTCTTCCTTCAACTGTTCTATTTTTGCACGGAAGACGCGAGCAATCAAGTCAGGTCTATTCTGAGTTTCATCATTTTCCCCCAAATGCTGTTTGATTTCGGGCCACGATGGATTGCAGGTGATAGTAAGGAAAATATCAGGTTTTCCGTAGCGTTGCACCAATTCCATTGCATCCATGTACCTGCGATGCATATCTCTTGGGCCACCTATAAAGCTTGCTGGCAAAATGATGCGTTTGCCAACATTTGCGCCATTTGTTTCACCATTTGCAGTAGTGGCTAACAATCCTTGATATGCTTCTGTTCTTAATTTGTTTTGTCTGCTTCTGTAGAATTCCAATCTTGAAGTCTCCAGTTTGACATAAGTGTCAACAGAGTATTGTTGCAGAAGACGACTAATATGCAGAAGGTTCGACTGATCCCCATTCCTAATTTGAAACTTGTATGCATAGTATTCTCGGCATGAAACAGTTGGCCTGCGTTTTTTTTTTTGCTTGACAGCTGCAGTAATAATAAAAATTTAAAGACTTTAAGAAGAAGATTTTCAAATGATAAAATGATTGAACAAAGATATATGGTCGTACCTTTCTCTTCTGCATCGATAATTTGATCGATATTAGTAGATTGATGAAGAGGCAGTAAATTTTCTTCACTGCAAGTCTGATTAGGTCGGTCCAATATATCAGCTTTGGTTTTTCGTAGAATTCCTGGATGCCAACCCGTTTCGCCTCGAGCATATATAAGAGGGTACTGCAATGCATCATAACATCCATAGTATTGCTTAACTATTTTCTTACTGCCTGTTTTTGTCGAAATTTCGATGTTTTTCGAAGTCTGAGTGTCATTCAGATCACTTTCAGACCAAATGGCTGCAACTTGAGATACTGTAGGTGCGTTGTAGACACGTTGGTCGAAGCCTGGGTCAGATTTTAGAAATATCCGATATCTGTCTAAATCCTGAAGTTCTGCTAAGCTTCGAATAAAAGCAGAATACGGATTTTCATGGAGTATTGACCTAAGCTGTTCTACAATAGACTCCCTGAATTTGCTTGAGATAGCCATTCTATTTGCTAATTCATGTTCTGTATCATAAAAATAAAGTTGCAAGTTCGATGCCTTTTCATCTTCAGAAGGGACTAATGAGTTAATAAAATGGTATATTTGTCCTTGTACTCTAAACGTATAAATGCCATGATTCCTCTTGCTGAGTTCTTTATTGTAATGGACCCCCAAAGATGTAAAAGCAAACATGTTGTTATAACTCCTAATGCATTGTCTAAACTCTTTTGATTCAGGAGTGTTTGCTTTATAAAGCTGTACTAATTTATCAGCCATTTTAGTTGGTGCTAATCTGATTTCTCCAGAAGCACAGCAAAATCGAGGTGGCTCCATGTAAAATCGCTTAGCATGGCAGTGAATACAATCTGGAACAGATGGCAATATACTTGGCTCTGATTGTATCTGCTGTATGAGCGGTATATTTCTTGGACGTCGATGATTACCTAAAAGTATACAGCATAATCGATATTTCGTTATATTAAAAATGCAAGTGTATTTTCTCGTATGAGTAGGATATAAAATATAGGAGGGAAATCCAAAATTTGATAAGATACCCGCTCTAACTCTTGAGGATGTTGCTATATCAAATCTTTCCTTGATGGTAGATGATGAGGCTGAAAATTCAAAGTTTGGAATGCAAACTGAATATTTTTTGGGGAAATGAACTAATTGAGAGAGCTAGCATGTTTCTCTGATTTCATAGTGATAGTCAATGGTTGAAAGATGGATATTACTGCTACCTGAATGAGAAGGAAGAGGAAATTGATGTACATGAACATGCGATGAAGCTGGATGAAAGAGGCTCTGTGAAACTGAATCATCATTTATAGGCGAACAAACTATATGAATAAAAGATTAGGACAATGATTACATTTGATATAGCTGAGAAGAAAAAGAAGACAGAGCTAAGATCATGTATGAATAAGAGAAGAATAATACATGAATCAATGGCAGAGACAGCTGATGTAGATGGAATATCTGTTTTATCTGAAAGTGAAAAGACAGGCAAATCCAAACAAAAAACAGCCGACTGTGTGTTTAGGCGGCAAATCATCATGAATAGGAACATCAAAAAGGTTGTGCTCAGTTGTTTCAGGAATAGCAGTCTGTGTTTCTGCAATTTGGCTTCTTTTATACTGAACTACTTTCTTGATGTATCTTTCACGATCACGGCGACTTTTTTCTAAACGATATTCATCCTCTGATGAAAATTTACGCTTGCGACCCATATGCAATTGCAACTAAAACCAATAGAATTCTGTTATCCATAATGTGCAACAATAATAATGACAAACCATCTGGAGTTTGTTCAAGCAAGCAGAATAAGTGTGGATGAGAAAGATGATCGTTATTCAATAGGCAAAGAAATAACAAACATGATTTGCAAGATAAAATACAATAAAGTAGAATAGACTACGTAGTAAGCAAATGAGAAGCAATTAAGTGAAGAAAGGATTGCTTTACCTGAACAATAAACGTCAAATAGGATGGTGGAAAACTGGGGCGTATTGAATGAACTGCTATGATCATGGAAAAAGGACACACAGTGAGCATGAGCAAAATACACCAAAATGGAAAAAGTAAGCAGTTTTTTTAAATTTGGTAATAGTTTATGGAGTCACTTAACGTAAGAAAATTCAGAGTTAATGCAGACTAAAAAGTTGCAAGAAAGAAAAATGATTCTGTGCGAAGCAGTAAGTTTTTTGGCAAAAATTATGGGAACAAAACAGATATTTTTAGGTAATTAACAAGGAGGAGAAAATGATTGAAACATAACTTCAATCACAAGGAAAGAAAATAAGTAACTGCAGATAGATTAAGAGTAAACGAGGAAAAGGTCAGCCAAAAAATCCAGTAAAGAAAAACAAGCACATACCTGACTGAAGCCGAGGTAAAACTGAGAATTTGAAACAGGGATTAGGAAAAGCAAATAGAAAATAAACAGCTAACAGAAAGGGGCAAGAGAAAAGAGAAACATCTCTAAAGCATTATAATAGTTGGTAGTCGGTATATAAAGAAAACGAAACCAAAGAAACTGACGGTGAAATGATTAATGTAGACGGAACGCATAGCCTTCAACTATACAAAAAGTCTGTAGTTTGGCCGAAGCACGTGCATGCATTAAATGTGACTAATGATTGAAAGTCCACTATGACAGTATGTAATCTGTGAAAGAATCGAATGAAACAAGCATATCTCTATCTTTAAGTACATGACATCAACTGTAACTACAGGTGTAACTTCAAGTCTCTAACCACGTAAGATGAATTTTGTGCCACGTAACCTCTAATCACCAAGGAACAACCACGTCAAATTTGATAGCATGCGGTGGCATCGTAGAAGAATTGCTATGTATTTTGCTAAACAAATGCAAAAAACTTTAAAATGAATAATTGAGTAGTCAACAAATATTTATTAGGTACACACAAGATTTAAATTTGTGTTAATATGTATACATATATATAATTTTTTGGAAATAAATATTCTTGTTGATATATATATTTTGTTAAAAGCTTTAAATTAATAATATTAGATACACATTTATGTTATATTACTCAATCTTAATTTAATAATTAATCTTAAAACGAAAAAGCTTTAATAGCTAACAAATATTATCAAGCTTATACGCAAAAGCTCTAATTAGCTTTAATTTAATCAGACACACAACTAATCATCATTTTGATACGATCAAGCTTATACACAAAAGCTCTCATTGGCTTTAATTTAATATTAATAAGACATACAACTAATTATTACTTTGTATTGAGCACATTTATGTTATGCCACTCAATCTTAGAACACAAAAGCTTTAATTTAATAATTGAGTAGCTTGAATTTAATAATTGAGAGGGCTTGATTTAATAGAAGAAAGCGGGACAATTAATTTATAACTTCTAGCTGAAGTTTCGCGCCTTCACAGGCACATATTGGGAGCAGAGGACATCGACGGGTACATATTGGACCACAGGAGAAAGAAGGACTTGTAGCCGAAGCTTCACGCCTTCACGGGCACACATTGGGAGCAGGGGACAATTGACGGCTATATATTGGACCACAGGACAAAGTTGGACCACAGGACAAAGAAGGACAAATCGAACAGCCAAATTACAAAATAGCCAAATTTGAAACACGGATCAGGAAAAACCAATAGAAAATGAAGAGCTAATAGAAAGGCACAAGAGAAAAGAGAAACATCTCTAAAGCATTATAATAGTTGGTAGTCCGTAGATAAAGAAAACCAAACCAAAGAAACTGACGGTGAAAAGATTAATGTAGATGGAACGCATAGTCTTGAACTATACAAAGAGTTTGTGGTTTGGCAGAAGAAAGCACGTGCATGCATTAAATGTAACTAATGATTGCAAGTCCACTATGACAGTAGATAATTTGTGAAAGAACTGAATTGAACAAGCATATCTCTATCTACCTTGTATATAAGAAAACAGCCAGTTTTAATGCTTTCCTTTCCTCTTGCCACGTGGTTCCTTAATTATCTGACAAGTGGCAAGTAAAGTGTTTCTTACAAAGCTTCTCTTGACCGACCGAAGTCTTCTATTTCTTTTCCTTCTTTTGCCATTCCACCGTCTTCCCCTCAAATTGCATTGAAGCCTTTTCCTGCTCTCTCTACCACGCGCCTATTCTGAGCAAAATTCAGCACACCTATTCTGAGCAAGTCCCATCCCAACCGGCTATGCTACCAAACCCACCATCTCATCTCTTTGTGACTTCCTTCTTTAAGCCAGCAGGTCAGCTGCTACTCCTGCAGCCGCTTGATTTGCTGATCATTCACATGGCCTTTGTACTTCAGAGCAGGAGAATTGGGTGCAGGTGAACTACTTTGCTTGCACTAGCCGTTTTTCCCTCTTTCTCTGATATCCAATTAACCCGTTTCTGTATCGATTTCGTCTCATGTTGCCGAATTGTTGGAGCCTCACGTGATAGTTGTACTTCAAAGGAGTGAAATGGGGAATTTTTTTTTAGGTATGCCATTCTATTCTGATCAGCTTTGGTATTCAATTTTCCACCCAAATTATGCTTTCTATTCAACCTTCATCATCGGTATGATTACGATTACAAATATCTGCTTGGATGTGATTTTTCCCTTATTCCAGTTCTGCTGAGAAGTAGGATTCCTATTCACTTAGCCTGTACCTTTTATCTGTATTTGCACGTCTCTTTCTCTAATCACACTCTCATTCTAACCTTCATTCACTCTGGTTTTGGCTTTTTTCCCTCTTGATTCGGTATGTGCTATTTCATATGGAAGTACAATTTTTTGTTATTTCCTTTTTGGTTTGAACATTTGTTTTTTCTTCTTTTTATTTCCTTACCAGGGTTTAGTGAATCTAAATTTTGTTCGAATATAGTGTTGATTTTTTTGTTGGATTTTCACAACAGATGAAGATCAGAAATAGGTGAATTTATTTTGTTCTCATTTTCGGCTGTGATGATACAATATTGTTGCCGTGAGTTGTGTTTCAGGCTTGATACTAACTGGATTTAAGCTGTATCTTGGCGAGGCAACTCAGATGGCATTTTGGAGTATATATTATTCCAGAACTGCAACTGAGTTTGCAGCCATGGTTGTGCTCTTCTTCTTCGCCTGCCATTGACAAACAAATTGGAGCTTTACTTTTAATTGTCAAAGTTCATTGTTTTTTTCATTTATTAGTCCAACGGTAGCTTAGTTTGTTCTTCCGAAATTCTCGTACAAATTCAGTTCTACTTCAAGTATTATTACTCCCTGTTTTGATGCTTTCTTATCACTTATCTCAGGTATGTTATGATCCCTTACAATGATTGCTTATGTTATATTTGCTTCATTAACTCAAAACATGGTTTTAGTATGACACTGCCTTCAAGTGAATATGTGAAATCTCATAGGCATGGCTATCAAATGTTTGATGAAATGTCTGTCTGAAACTTGGGATAATTGGTTCTTAGGTTGATTGCAAATGCAACAATAAATCTAGATGGTGTTTTTTGGATCTCTTGAGAAGGTTCTTTAAACAAAAGAATTGCTTCATTTGTGTTTCTATTGATATCTAAAACTAATAAATTAGCTTTATTTTGAATCAAATGTTGGCCATTTGATGGATTTTAGAGTAATCTAAGTGGTTCAACATTGTCACTCAACTTGCTGTCCAGATTCTTCTTCTTCTCTGCATTGAATTCACTGGTAAGTTTCAAAACTTATGTTAACTTAAAGGTCTTTTCCAATTTTTTCCTATTTTTTGAAAACTGAGTGTAGCGTAAAATGATTGTTTTTTGCTTCTTTTTTGGTGGCTTGATAATATCAAACTCTTAAGAAAAAGTTCCGAGCTCATTCAGGACCGCCAGCTCCCCAGGGCACTCCTTTTTTATATCTGAGAAGCACCCTCCGATGTAGCATTTTGGTGCTGTAGGATATGGGGTCACTGAAACAGGGAGGTTGTAGCCATCCACTATACTTACGTCGTAGAAACTCGGCTGCCTCTTGTCAACCTGCAACGTAAACTCTACTAGCGTCACAGGAGGAACGCCGATCACCCCGGCGCATTCGAGTCGCCCGTTGCAGTCGCCTGTTTCACAGGCTCGTCCGTCGTTGGAGTAGTCGAAATTGCAGCCTGTTCTGGCCCAGATGCGGCCACTCGAATCTCCTGGTGCCTGGAATTTCCGGAGTCTCCCGGATGGAAGATAGAAGCCACCGTTTGCTACGACTGGAAAGCCTTGGTTCGGGGCAGTGGCAGGCCATATGGGAAATGGGCACTTGTTGCTCACGTAAAATGTGCATGCTTCCACAACTCCACTACTGCCTGTGGGTTACGTTAAACTATAAACGATGCAAAAGAAGAATGCTTTTCCATTTATTTGGTGAGTATCTGAATGAATTTTTGTTGTTATTGTAGGAGGCAACAAATTAAAACAAATCTTGCAACCATCAATTGAGTAATAGGTATTTCTTGCTTCTTTTTAGCTGTTAGGTTATTCAAAAATGTTTTGTTTTATTCTTGCTGCTAATTGGAGAAATAAGTGAGTCACAGAAGAGTAATTTTTCTTATTTGGAATCTATAGGGCTATTTGTTGAGTTCAAATGCTTGTGCTCTTCTTTTAGCAAAGCTTTTATTAACTAATAATCTGAGCCTTAATTTTGATTGTCAAATTCAATTGTTGAATTATATTTAATAATTTGTATGTCTTGAGCTTGTGATTCAATTTTAGCTTTACTTCTGTAGCTTTGACTATTTTACTATTTTTCTTGCTATTTAATTGCCTACTCTATGATACTGACAAAAAATTCTCGGTACTTCTAATAATTTTTTGTCCCTGCTCTTTTCTTCCTTGTACTCCTGTAGATGTTAAAACTCTATTTTGAAGCTAGAGTTTTGAAATTAGCATGCTTAAGTTGCCAATAATTTTTAAATAATGACAATGCTAAATATGAGCAAATTTAATCTACTGAAAAACTGAGCATTTTCTTGTGAAAATAAAGTTGGGAAATGATTATTATTCTAAGGAAATTATTATTATTCTAAGTTCTAAGTCATTAGATTCTCTACCTAGACACTTTGTCCTTACCCGAGCATTCAAATGCAAGGTTAATATTTTTGTCCTTACCTGAGCGTTAAAATGCAAGGTTAATATTTAGAATGCAACCTTATTTATTCTTTTTATAAATTTTTAAAATTATTTATACTTTAAGGGAAAATAAATACCAAAATTGATATTTTTTGTCTAATGAGAGTATAAACATAATGAGAAGGGGTTTAAATGCTAGGTTAATTATTTACAAAGCATATATAAGTGCATCGCCTTTATTTAATTTTATAAACACTCTCCTTATTCCTTGGATTAGTGACAGGAAGAGATATGAAAAATTGATAAATTTTTCATAATACATAGAGATTGGATAAGAGATGATTTAATTGATGGCACAAAAATAAAAACAAATATGCCAGTTATGAGCCTTATGTGTTTAGAAAGTAATTTCTTAGGTTTTTATTTGTCTAGGACTTATTGGAAAAAATATGTTAAAACTTATATTTTTACAGTGTGGGAAAAAATATTAAGATGTATAAATCATATCTCTAATTGATATTTAAAAAGGAATATGAAAAAATGATTTTTTGCAATAAGACTACATGTGTGTGCTAGGGAAGATGTATTATTACAGTTTATACTCTGCTTTGGATTTTTTTCATTTATTTATCTGTTTTTATGGCCTATTAGATGTAAGTTTCAATTTTGGTTATCATGAAGTGTTTATCCTCTTAGTTGTGTCTTGGAAAGTTTAGTTTTCTGACATGTTTTCTTGAACCTTTTATATTGAAAATTTATAAATCCTCACTAGATGTTGGACTCATTTTTGTGTATTTCATGAGGATGTCCCTTTTGTGTTTTTTTTTTTGTGCATAGGGTTACTTCTTGACAGCAATCAATTAATCTCAATGGGCATTGGCTGTGATCAATTAACCACTTGTTCTTTTGTGCACCTTAATAGATCTCAATATGTGATCTTTTGTAATTGCAGCCTATGATTGCACTTTATATTAAGTATTTAGCAAGTCATCTCTTGTCTCTGTAAGATTAACTTGCACTTGAAGATGTTAAGCTATTTGTCAAACTACTTGCCAATCTTTTGTCATCTTCTCTTCTCTTTTGCAATGCTAATGATTTTTTTGTTTTGTTTAGTCTCATATTGTTAGCTGCATACTTGATTGGTAATTTATAATTTTAAGAATACTATTTCGCAAACATTACTGTTAATCTTATTTTATATGACAATAGATTACAGGGGGCCTAGGCTGTGCTTAGCACAGCCGATAACCTCCTAGTCTTTAAGTACATGACATGAATTGTAACTACAGGTGTAACTTCTAATCTGTAACCACGTATGATGAATTTTGCGCCACGTAACTTTTAATCACCAGGGAACAACCACGTAGAATTTGATAGCATGCGGTGGCATTGCAGAAGAATTGCTATGTCTTTTGCTAAACAAACGCAAAAACTTTAAATTAATAATTGGGCAGTTAACAAATATTTATTAGATGCACAAAAAATTTAAATTTGTGTTGATATATATACATATATATAATTTTCTGGAAATAAATATTCGTGTTGATATATATATTTTGCTAAAATACTCACATATATCAAAAAACACACAACTAATTATCACTTTGTCCTAAAAGCTTGAATTTAATAATTGAGTAGTTAACAAATATTATCGAAGTAAGATTTTTGAAATAGAGGAAAATTATTCGATATTTTTAAAAACAATTGGTCCTATTAATGGAACCTAATACAAAACAAATATTATCGAAGTAAGATTTTTGAAATAGAGGAAAATTATTCGATATTTTTCAAAACAATTGGTCCTATTAATGGAACCCAATACAAAACGGGACAATTAATTTATATTTGAGTAGGTAACAAATATATTAGCCATCTTAAACGCAAAAGCTTTAAAGCAAATGCTTTAATTAGCTTTAATTTAATAATTGAGAGGGAGTAGTTAACAAATATTATCGAAGTAAGATTTTTGAAATAGAGGAAAATTATTCAATATTTTGAAAAACAATTGGTCCTATTAATGGAACCTAATACAAATAATACAAAACGGGACAATTAATTTCTATTTGAGTAGGTAACAAATATATTATATTATCAATCTTAAACGCAAAAGCTTTAAAGCAAATGCTTTAATTAGCTTTAATTAAATAATTGAGAGGGACGCAACCACATATTGGGAGTAGCTTTAATTTAATAATTGAGAGGGACGCAACCACATATTGGGAGCAGAGGACATTGACGGACGGACAAAGAAGGACAAATCGAACAGCCAAATTACAAAATAACCAGCGGAACACATTGGGAGCAGAGGACATTGACGGACGGACAAAGAAGGACAAATCGAACAGCCAAATTACAAAATAACCAGCGGAATCACTGTAGATAGACCTTCGACGCCTTATGTAGTTAGAGATATATAGTACGAATTTGATTTGGTTTAGAGCAACAATAATATTTGGTAGTCTATTTTACTACATGTAATCGGATTAGTGTTGGTGTACAGATGGTAACTCAGGAAGGAAGGGTTTTATTAAGTCAGGTCCCGTTTGATAAGTGAATTTTTTGGATATTTGTCTAAAACTTTATTGTAACTTACTGTAGAAGTTTTTTTTTAAATTTTTTTAAGTGTGTTTTTTTAAATATTTGAAATGTATAATTTAAAAGTTTTGAAAAATTTTTTGAGCTCACTGTAATTAAAGTTTTTAAAAATTTTAATAATTGACAAATTTGGCCAAAAACTTGTCTGCCGTACAAGGCCTCAATCAATAGGAATGTTAGACTATTGAGAATTTGGTATTATTTGAGGGAGGGATTCATTAGAAAGGCTAATATGTATGTGTTTTTGGCAGCAAGTCACTTCCTAAATGTGTACGGATCTTCTAAAATAGTGTACAAAATGACTTTCCTGGAAGGAAAAAAGATATTTGGTGCAATTCTTCATTATGCAAGTTTAAATATTTGGTCTTCATCATACAAGTTTGATTCGTTTCAAGTCCCCAACGGTAGCATTCCGTAGGTTGCTAGTTCGAACTCTATCTTAGTATTGCGATTGAATCCTCGGACAAGGCTCTATAAGCCAGGAGATGAAAGTTAAAAAAAAAAAAAATTTTTGGATTTATTTCATAAAATAGTGTTGGTGTTGGTGTGCATCCCATAAATCTATTTACCAGAAATTAAAAAACACAAAATGAAAATGTTTGTCTGGCAATTCCGTCCATTTTCATATTTGGTATAAAAACATGAAAAATGATTTGTAGTTAATATTTAAAGAGTATATAGCATCATGTGATTTGTCAGTTAATTTAGACGAACCTAGGGTCATTATTCATAAACTCCAAATAAGTATCACGTATCAATAATGTAAAGACTAATTAGCATACTGACAGTGTGTACAAGATTAATTCATATATTATCATGAACTATGTAACTTTTTGCTCTGTAATTATTGGAAAGGCATTTAATATATTTTATTCACAATTGATGAGATATTAAATGAGTAAAATCAAATACTATATGTATTTATATATTCCTAATAAGTTCTAACATATCGAACATAAATCTTAAGGCATATCAAATTAAAAACATTCAATGTAAAGATACCACATGAAAAAAAATTAACAAAATCAAGTTTCGATTAAATTTGAAATAGATAAATCAAATTTAATTTAATTTGATCAGAAATTCAATTAATTGATTTCTTACTCACTCCTAATTACAGACATCTAGGGATAAATGGATGTGAGAAATTAAATAAGTAGAAGATGGTGTCTATGGTGTAGAGGTAATTAAATGGAAAAGACAAATTAAACAAGCATTGAAGGTGTCTTGGTTGAGTGTAAGACATTGTCCAATACTCTTTTTTATTTCCTTTTGATAATAAGACATTGTACGGTATTAGCACGAAAGTGTATTAATTCTTTTTATCAATCAATTTATTGTGTTTCATTTTTAAAATTTTTAATAAATTAATAAGATGTTGTACGATACAAGCATGAAAGTTTTCTAAACCTTTTATCAATCGAGTTATAATTTTTCTTTTTAATAAATTACGTAGAGTCCCGTTTAACTGTTTAAGTAACGGATTAAAATGTAGGTGTATGAAAGTTTACGCGTACCACGCGGGGATTGTTAAACACCCCGCCGCTACAGTCCCCATTTTCATAGGCGAAACGGCTCTTTTTTTCTCAACCGGTCCCTGTTTGGGAAACGAGTTCTTGATTATGGTGGCGGTAGTAGAAACGTTGGATCCTTTGCTGCCTTATCCTTTGTGCTTTGTCCTGAGCTCCGCGTATCTCATGACAACAATTCATAAGCATATCATAGAAAATGACTCAACAGCTCATATGAATGAACGGAATAAGTTTATAGAATCTATTTGCCAGCTTTGACACTATTTCTTTGTCTTTTGAGTTCATGTCTTTCTTCTACCTAGAGGAAAAGCCATGTTGTTAGGCACCTTCGCTCACCAGACCCCTGTTACATATCTGTATTAATATCTGATGTGAGAGCCCAGTTGTTCAATTTGCTTGATTTTGGGGTTTTTATTCGATTTTTGGAAGATGGGTCTGGACGATTTGGCCGTTGAGAAGAAGAGAGTTGTGGTTATTGGTGGCGGAGCTGCGGGTTCTCTGGCAGCTAAGACCCTTCAAAACTATGCAGATGTTTACCTGATTGATACGTAAGCCACACCTGACATCACTCTCTCATTCCCTCGTAGATACTTAATTTTGGATCGGGGCATGAGGCAAAATTGTTAACATTTCTCCTCTTTTGTAGAAATATGGTGTTTTTTAATTGTAATTTCCTTTTGTTCTATGAGGACTTCCTCTATTGGATTTTAATTATATTTCAGTAATGTGCATCTGCTGCATGCTGTTTGATTAGTCAAATCGAGTTACATCTTTGGGTGGTATTGCATTAAGTGCTTAATTTACTTTCCAAAGGAATAAGCCTAGGAAGCTTTTGTTTTGTAGTGACATGGACGAACCGCTAATTGATTTTATTTGGAAGGTGATTTAAGGGTAAGCAAGGAAACTTTTTATAATTGACAAGAATTGTATAGGCATTTTTAAATAATTTGCTTAAGTTCAGGAGAAATGTCAGGTGGTTTTGTTAATTTCTTCTCGGTTGAAAAATGCAATTTCTCCTGCACATCCTCTCCATGTTCAGGAGCAATTTCAGGTTCACCAATACCAGGTTCAGAGCAGAGTTTAATTTCCTAAATGCAAAATATGCATGTTTACAGCTTAAGACACTGATCTTGATAATGGAGGTGCTAAATATGGCTCCATCTAATTTGGGTGGTTTTGTGCTTAGGATTGGGAACGGAGGCTAATTATTCTCAGTGTTCTATCTATCTTTGATAGATATGGCTTAGAAAATTCAGGGATCAAATGCTTAATTACAACGATCATAGTCCTACTATTTGTAGTTGGTTGTCACTTTTATTAGCAATTTGCCAAAAATATATGAGCAAATAAAGTTTCTATCTTCTTTTTATATTCAGATATTATTGAATAGATGTTGGTTTCAGCCCTATAACCAAATTCCATTCTAATTGAGTAGTCTTTACTCAATGTTAACTCCAGAATGTGTAGTGAACTGGCTCTACTTCTTAAATGCCAAATCATTTTACATGTCTACAAGGGCATCGAAGTGTCTGAATTTTTGATCTTCTAAACTAAGGATGCTATGACAGTACTGGAGACAGGGAAAGGGGTAGGGCAAACGAACTGCAACATTAATCTAGTATTCAACCTTTATAGGTATCTAAGATACATAAAACTCGCATCTCTCAAGTTTGAGACTGCATGAAGTGATCAGCTGTCAATCCATCCTCTACCTTGATAAAACCATTTTAATTCCTTTTGGTTCTATTTGCTTTATTGAAACTTCACTAATGAAAGCTGCAAAATATCAACAGGAAAGAGTATTTTGAAATCACCTGGGCAAGCTTGAGATCAATGAAAGAGTATTTTGGGTCTGAATTTTTGATCTTCTAAACTAAGGATGCTATGACAGTACTGGAGACAGGGAAAGGGGTAGGGCAAACGAACTGCAACATTAATCTAGTATTCAACCTTTATAGGTATCTAAGATACATAAAACTCGCATCTCTCAAGTTTGAGACTGCATGAAGTGATCAGCTGTCAATCCATCCTCTACCTTGATAAAACCATTTTAATTCCTTTTGGTTCTATTTGCTTTATTGAAACTTCACTAATGAAAGCTGCAAAATATCAACAGGAAAGAGTATTTTGAAATCACCTGGGCAAGCTTGAGATCAATGGTTGAACCTTCATTTGCGAGAAGATCGTTAATTAATCATGTAGAATACCTGCCTAAAGCACACGTCGTCGCAACCACTGCAGTTGATCTCACAGACAGTGAAGTCCTGACCACAGAAGGACGCATGGTAGCTTATGATTATCTTGTAATTGCCACAGGCCACATGGGTGATGGCCCCAGCACAAAGGCTGAGAAGCTTAATTACTACCAAGCAGGTAAAACAATGGATGACTTAAATGTATAGCATTTGCATTGTCGCAGACTTCATAGTTAAATGATTGATCCATTTGCTTTTTCCCATTGCTACATTCTCTGTCTTTCTATAACTACAGTCCTCCTATAGTTGCTGGAAGGCTTAGTGTTACTTGGGTTGGGTGATACCTAACTTAAAAGTTTTATTTACCAGTCAAAACTCTTGCCCGTGTGCGAAATGAGAAACTGAGGATTAAAAGTGTCTTTTAGCCATCAGAACGTGCATGCTGGTCTATACGTTATATTGTGAGGTTGAGGCAATTGGTTTCATAGTTTCTTTTACATTCTTGACTTTCTGTATTGCCCTACATTTATCTTCTACAAGATATTCTGATGCTTGCTTCTTCTGATGTTAACATTCATCTACTCTCTGTATCTTATTATATATACTTTGATGTACTTGAGATACATTTCCTCTAGCTCCTGAAAAGGACGCTATATGAACTGGATTAATGATTCTGACAAGGCCTGTTGATTGGTTTAGTTTTTGAATCCTAGACTTTCATATGTTAATAGTATTCAAGGTATAAGACCTATCTCTATTGGAGCATAGAGAAATTGACTGCATGCTTATTTCAAAATTTGAATTTAGGAATGCAGATGAAAACTAGGAAACGGCTTAAATATAGACATGAATTAGTAGACTGTTGAAGCCTGCTGTTTGTTCCTAGCAGAAAAGTGATATTAATTGCTGTAAGTTAACTGTTGAATGCCGATTACCTAATATTTAAATGTTTAAAAATTTTCCTTTTTTTCTTTTTCTATACTATCGCTTGTTAAGTTTACAGTGACTCTAAAGAAACTTGCTGTTTTAGTTGCCGGTTGGTCATCAATTTACTTTTTCTTCTTACAGAACATGAGAAGATAAGTTCTGCAAACTCAATATTGATAATTGGCGGGGGGCCAACTGGTGTAGAACTTGCTGGTGAAATAGCTGTGGATTTTCCTGATAAGAAGGTGACACTGGTTCATCGGGGATCTAGGTTGTTAGAGTTTATTGGAGAAAGGGCAGGAAAAAAGGCACTTGATTGGTTGATCTCAAAGAATGTTGAAGTCATCTTGGGGCAGTCAGCTAACTTGAATGACAATTCAAATGGCGTTTATCAAACATCTGCTGGAGAAACCATCGAGGCTGATTGCCACTTTATCTGCATAGGCAAGCCAGTTGCTTCATCCTGGCTAAAGAAGACTACTTTTGGTGACAGTGTGGATGTCCATGGAAAGTTAATGGTGGATGCAAATTTGAGAGTCAAAGGTCACAAGAATGTGTTTGGTATTGGTGATGTCACTGATATTCCTGTAAGTACATCTACCTCTTTAAACAAACTATTCTTGTGGACGTTGGGTTACTCTCTATTGCCGTAGTTCTGTCAAAATTTAATTTTTCTGGTTGTAACAAATAGATGTTTCAATTCTGCTCGAAATTGACTTTTGAAACAGCAGCTAGAACTGCCCACAACCCATCTGTCCTTGCTTTCTACAAGCTTAGAAGAAGAGATTACCATGTGTCAACGGTTACTTTATCTCTCAAAAGAAAACTGGAATCGGGTTTGGAATGTCATAGGTTTCACGTTAGGGTTAACAAAGTATTCCAGAAAAGGTGCCCTGAGAATAGCACCTTGTCAGCATTTATGGATTCTACTCGAGGAATGCTGGAAATTTTCAATTTGAGTACTTCCATCGAACTGCATCTAGCTAGTTAACTCTAGATACTGATTTTCCACTGATAGTAATCATACAATACAAGAGCTTCTTTGCTCTGGGGAAACTTATCCTGCCATCAAGGCTTTAGTATTTCTTTTCGTCTACTGCGGTTATCAAATGCAACAGAAGATGTAGTCATGCTCTCTAATTGACTTGTAGACTCATTTAAATCACTTGCAATTTCTTTCTTGCACATATGTTTGCGAGCATTATCCTATCCTGTAGCAAGATGTCCTTACCGAACCGCATCTTCATTCAGGAACTCAAACAAGGCTACCTGGCTGAACAGCATGCTTTGGTGGCTGCTAAGAATGTGAAGCTGTTGATAAAAGGAGAGAACGAGAAGAGATTGGCAACTTATAAGCCTGCTTCATCAGCATTGGCATTCGTTTCACTGGGGAGAAGAGAAGCAGTGGCTCAAATTTTTTGTATAACCATTGTTGGGCGCCTGCCTGGCTTGATAAAATCTGGGGACTTGTTTGTTGGGAAGACGAGAAAACAGCTAGGCCTAAGCTCCAATGTTAACTAGGATGCATACTTTTGTGTTCACGTGAATTTGTCAAAGTGCAATCTGTAAGTTTATAAAATGCTCACTGTATAATTATTGCTTTGGGAGAAGGCAAATTCTCCAATTCTGCAACCAGTTAGATCAATAAGCTCTCAAGAAACGCCATAAGTGGTATATTAGAAAGCCATAAACAAATTTCGACGTTTTTTATGAACATATTTTTTAATTATCTTTTTAATTTATATATATATTAAATTATTACATTGCATTTTTTTACAAAAATTTTAGAAAATAGCAATCCAAGCAGAGCCTAAACTACTTGCTATGGAAAAAAGAAAAAAAGAAACTTTTCTAGCAAATTAGTAAATGGCAATGGTAATATTGGAATGTAAACATTTATTTTTTTTCCTCCTTTTATTCTGTATAATACTTGATTTGAAATTCCAAAAAAAAAAAAAGGTAAACTGGAATTTGTGCATGAGAGTACTATATAAAGCTGCTTTCCGGAACTGGTGTACAACCTGTGGATTGTTGTGTACATTGACACGTGCTGTGCACATGCAGAGGCCGGCAATGGCTTCAATCTGCAAAGGCAGTAGAGTCAAATGTGTACTATTAGTATATACTATTAGTACCGGTGTATTTACTTGGAAGTTTCCATTTGCTTCCTTCCATAACGAATCGTAAGAGTTAAGTCTTTAGATACGTACGTTTCCTTGGATTGACGAAGAAAATACTACAGAAAATTCCCAAAGGTCGTTATAGTAAAAAGCCGTAATCAAAATTCCCCTCAATTTCCCTCTCCGCTTATCTAACATTCTATCTCTTCCTCGTACGCTTTTAATTTGGGTATCATCTTCGATCTTCTCCTTCGAATTCGGATATTGCCCCATATTTTTTTTTTTTAAAAAAAAACCCTAATTTTGTCTGCACGTAAGAAAAGTTTCACCGGAAAGGAATTGCAGGGAGCAACAGGGGAAGATGAAGAGAGTCTTTGGTGTCAAGAAGGACAAAGAACCTCCACCCTCCATCAACGACGCCTCCGATCGGGTATCTTTTCTTCTCCTTACCCTCTTCTTTTCTTCTATTCAAAGTTCCTTTACACCTTAGTCAAAGTTTTGTTTACGTATATACCAGCATTTCTCCAATTTGTTTGTTAGAGGAGTTGCAGCTTTTGTTGTTCTTTCTTTACGATCCAATTTTACTTAATTAGGGGCGCGAATTGCTTGTTAGCCGATTTGAACGTGGTTGAAGTGGAAGATTTGTTATTAATTCGAAGTGGAATTGTGCAATGATTGTTAACTACTCTCGAATAGTTGTTCGATTCTATTCTGTAGTTAGTTTCATTAATAGGTATTCTAGTGTGTGTTGGATGTTTTCATCTACTACTACATTTGGATGGCCGTGTTTTCTAAGGATTTTCTCAATTCTCAGTTTTCTGGAATGCTATAAACAGACTGCATTGATAGAAGATGTAAATCCATTGAAGTAAGGAAATGAAGAGCTTAAAGAAATCTGAATGTGAATGCACTACCTTGATATTTTGTTTTCATTGGAATCTTGTGCTTTGAGAGTTATTTATAGTTAGATCTGTTGTATATTAGCCAATTTAAACCCCAAAATTTTGTGATGCCAATCTTGACTCCGCTCTGGATGTTTGTCTTTGACATTATGAACTTAAAAGACATGAAGAATGACCGGGAGCCGAAGTTGCATCTCAATTTGTTTATATACACAACAAAGGTTTACTCACAAGTGCTTTTTATAATATAGCTAAGTTATATTTTTGGCGTTGGGTTGTGTATTAACTACATATTCTGACAACTTGTGTTGGTTCTCATGAGTGGGCCATTTAATAGCCTTGTTCTTTCATTTGTTCAATTTTATGTTTTAGTGGTTATCTGGCTTTTTGTCATAGCTTCTTATTTGTCCTCAGAGGTGACTTACTGTATATGCACTTGCATATTTTTTCCAGATAACTAAAAGGGGTGACACAGTTGAGGATAAGATTAAGAAGCTTGATGCTGAACTTGCAAGGTATAGAGAGCAGTTGAAGAAAACTCGACCTGGTCCAGCTCAAGAAGCCATCAAAGCACGTGCAATGAGGGTTCTTAAGCAAAAGAGAATGTCAGTGATCTTCTTGGCTTTTTAATTAAATAACAATTAGAATTTGAATTAGAAATCACAGGCTTTTCTGGGGTGTGTCTGTGTCGATGCATTAGTCTCTCACAGATAATCAGACCTTAGGAGAGTTGTTATGTTTTAATGAAATATACATACAAGCTTTCGTGTTTTCCATGTTAAAATCTTCGTCATCAGTAACTGGGCCATTCAGTCTGCAGTGCAAGTGTTGCCTTTGTAGAACGTAGAGGCAGCTTCTAGTGCTTGTTTTTCGAGTTTTTAACAGGAAGACCTTTCTGCACTGAAGCATGTTTGAACTGTTTGAGATAAGCTAATCTTGAAACTTTCTGGTTTAAATCCTGTTTGAAGATGGTTGCTTCTTCTTTTTTCCTGTTATATAGAATGTCATTAGCTGGATGAACTTCTTTTGGACAAAGCACCATCAGTATAGCTGTTTTAGTAAACCTTTCTCTTATTAAATGTTTAAAGAAGAAGTTTGTGTAGTATTTATTTTACAGAAACTTTGAAGATTTAACAACGTGCATGTTATGTATTTCTAAGAGGACATAGTGCTACATTACTATATAAATGCTTAATCATTTTTCTAACTGATTAAAAGTGGCAAAGAAAATAAAGCTTTTAATAAGGCATGCATATGAAGTCTAAAAAGAAGTAGATTCTCAGTCATTGGGCCCTTGGGCACCTTTTTGTTGCAGTTGTTTGTGCGACTTAAACTCATTTTATTCTCCACATCTTATATATGCCTGCATATCTTGAAATGATAGTTAAGTGATGCATCTGCAACTATTGACATTTTGTTGACAGGTATGAAGGTCAACGAGATATGCTGTATAACCAGACTTTTAACCTTGACCAAGTTGCCTTTGCAGCTGAGGGAATTAAAGATGCTCAACAAACAGTATGTCTTAGGAAGCTTTGATTTTATTTTATCATTTTCAACCAAATTGCTTTTACTGATTGCAAATAGTTAGTTTTTCATTGGGTCGATCATATCCTAGGTTGCTCTAGGCAGATGTATATAGTGCATGTTGGCTAGCATGTTTCTGACTTTGGTGATGTTCTAAATTGAGCGGATTCAGATGTCATCGTAAAGGATACATATATGAGCTTGTTCTTTTGTCTCTGTTTGTGATTGTTAAACAAAACTGCCACTTCATTGTGATGAATGAGAAGTTTTATATCCCTGCAACCATAAGATAGGGGGTAATGTAAAATTCAACTTTATATGTTCGTTAGCCTACAAGCACTTTAACATTAAGTTTGCGATTAGTGATAGTTTGTATTAGAAATTAAAGATTTATTCCATGTTTAATCAAGTTCATTCCTTTTAAGCTGCACTAAATTCACGTTAGAATGTCTTTTTCTTGGTAGCGCCCTAGCGGGCAGAGTTCAAGACTTGTCAGATGGAGCTTGTTTTCTAACCTGATTGGCACCTGCTGCCTACCTCCTTAGAGGTAGGGGAACCATTTATGTGGAGGAGGAGGTTTTTTAATATTAAATATGTGATTTTCCTTGGGTCAAGAGTTCCTTGTACATGTTTCCCACAACGTACAGTTTGAGTTTGAGATGGGTCATTTCAGGAGCATATTTGGCATTTAATCCAATAATTTAAGGAGTTAAACTACCAATGACCCATGTTCTTTCATTGTTGCAGATGTCAGCTTTGAAGTCAGCTAACAAAGAATTGAAAGGGATGATGAAGACAGTGAAGATTCAAGACATAGATGTTCGTACTTACTAACTTCTTTTTTTTGGTTTCATAACCATGCAATCTTCTTTCTTTCTTTCTTTTGTTTTTCTTCCTTTTTTTTCCCGTTATCAGTGGAACAAGTCTTTTTTATCTCTAATGATCCTTTTTCTGCAGAACTTGCAAGATGAGATGATGGACTTGATGGATGTTAGTAATGAGATTCAAGAGACTCTTGGTAGGAGCTACAGTGTACCTGATGACATTGATGAGGAGGAACTGATGGGTGGTAAGATTTGCTCCCCTGGCTTCATTCCCAAGCAGGAAAGAAGAAACGAAAACTGTTTCTTCTTTTCCCTCTTTTCCTTCTTGTCTGTTCCACTTTGGGTTATGATTTGTTACTTCTCTATGGAGCTCATAGGCTTGACAATTCACTTTTTATGCGATTTTTAGTGAAAAAGCACCAGAAGTTTAAGTTATATGTAATTGGGAGAATTGTTACAAACAACATTTTGTCCATCTATCATGCAGAGCTCGATGCTCTGGAAGCAGACATGGGAATGGAGACTGAAAGTGATGGGGTGCCTGCGTATCTTCAACCCGACAAGGAACCTAATCTGGAAGAAGAGCTAAACCTACCACCTGCTCCAAGTGGGCATGCACCCGTGCCACCTGGCAGAGCTAATGCACAGGTAAATTGGGCTGAAGAGAAGCCTGGAAATTATTGTTTTCCTCCCTCGTTCCCCTTTATATCTGGGTGAGCACAGACACAGGAGGTATTTTGTCTCTATGAGCAATTTGTTGGAGGTGGTGCTTTGTCAGAGAGGGAGAGAAGAAATGGAGAAAGGAATCTTTGTTAGTTAAATTGTAGTTTCTCAATTCGGTTAAGAGGGAAAAGTTCTATTCGCCAATTTCTCTACCAGATATTGTAAAATATGCTATTACAGGATTAGAAAGGATATTTGTAAGATGCAGATAAGAGATGAGACAAAACAAGGCCAAATACAAGCATCACAGTACAAATAGTTTGAAATATATATATATATTGACATCTACTTTAACCTTGGTTGTTTTCAATAAAAAATCTAGTTGAGGGTTGAGGGTGGGAAATATTGCTTATGAAGTTTAATATACTTGTGTTGGCTTGTGCTGTTTTCTTGTATGCTACGTGTCCTTTTTGTTTGACTCCAAATTTGTTTTCAATTGTGCTGGACAGGGTGAGGACGAGCTAGGTTTACCTGCTGTTCCTCATGCATCACTTCGTGGTTAGAGGCAGAGCTGGTTGTGGTTAAGAATTGTTGTCAGTGCTTTGACGG